CTTTGCAAGCCCGTCTTCGGCTGGAGGTTTTGCGGGTTCTGTCCCAGGTCCGCTTCTGGCCAGGAAGCGCAGGCTTGCAAAGTAAAACCGTCAACGTGGGTCCGCAAGAGCATTTTAGCCAGCAGGATAGCTTTCCAGAAGCTAAATGTTTAGCAAGCGAAGACAAACAAAATCTTGACTTCGGATTAATACACCCCAGTTTATCAATAGTTTGTTTGGCTTTAGTGGGGATTCATGACGTTTGGAGGGGAACACCCTCCATATTAATACACCGGGGTCGATTCATTTGGGGTCAACATTAGGTCCGTTTCTTTGGGATCTACTTCATCAGGCTTTGGAATTTATATCAAAGACATACCCTTCCCATATTTTGCGGTTTTCTCAAAGAGAACCAACAGCTGATGGATATGTTCTTTCATTCCACGCTTCGCATTTGGCCCCTGGAGTTGCAGATCCCCATTTCCTGAGGCTACGTGTGCCTGTGCCGGGGCCACTTCCCTCCGAACAGCGTGGGGTGCGAGGCTTAGCGCGACCAACTAGTCCATGGGCGAGCTGCCCTTTGTGGCACCCGGTTCATTCTTGTGTGGAGGGATCGAACCCAAGAAGGGTCCGCTTTCTCTACCAAGACCACCAGGCAATTGGAAAGTTCAGGGGTACTTCAGGGGTTGCGAACCACGAATCCGAACCACGAATCCGAATCCGACTACCGTTCCCTCCACAAAATGTGCACTGGATCAGCTTGATGCTTCACGAGCACTGGGACCATTTTGGAAATCACGTTGCAATTCGATGCAAGAACAAGGTTCACTGGAAATGCGCCAAACTCGGAGAATGGGCAGTACTCGAACCTGTTGCTTCTGCTTGGGCAAGGTGTATGAAGGGACACCAGATGGAAGACCACATGTTTTTGTTTGCGGGATTCATCAGGACAACCCTGAGAATGAGAGAAATCTGCCCTGAATTTTAGTTCTTCGTTTCGGAAAGTTGAATCTTGCCTGATTGGACGATTTGGCGCTTCCATTTTCAGTCATGGCGCTAACAGGGGATCACCTTCTATTTCCGGATCCCATCCGGGGGCAAGTGAGAAAAGGATTTGCTACATGAACATGGAGCCAGCGGCGCGTTTTCTTGAGGCCACGGCGTTTTTTTTGCCTTAAGGGGCTTTATACACCAATTCAGGGATCCCTGTTGTTCCTCTCAAACGGTGGGTTTAAACATCATCGTTTGCTTGCCAATTTAAGTGGGTGTCCTTTCGGGGTGAGGTTCGAGAGGTTCGAGGGGGGGACATGAGCGTGTTTTCTTTTCATAGGGGCCCAATTTTGTTTGGTGGTTTTCCTTGTGGGCGTCCTTTGAAGCCACCAAAAAAAAAGGTACCCTCAAAAAGAGACAGACCCATACAGAGCCTGTGTTTGGCGGGGTAGCCACGGGTGTTCCATTCCTGCGATCTGGCTTAGGTCTGTGATCTCCACTCCTCTGAGGCCGATTTTTCCGACGAAACGCCGCTTCAGCCAGAGGAAGTTGGAGACTTACAAGGTCCCCCAGCAATTGGTGCCCTTTTTGACCCCTTTTTTGGTTGGGAGGGTTCCCCTACTAAAATAGACTACCGAAAAAAGGCTACCCTTATTCGAACCTCTCTACTGGAGGACCTAGCTTACCCCCTGTCAGGTAAGTGGTTAGACTTAGTATCCCCAAGTGCTAATACTCACTTCCCGAGTGTCTGGACTTAAACACTTCTTGGGAAGCCCCTTTTTGTGTTAAATATAAAGTTTGGACTTGTTTTGGGCCACCCAGGAAGTGAGTTAAGCCCTCTGAGCGGGGATTCACCGTAGAATTCTTACCTGTCGTTTGAAGACGGAGCTCAGAAACCTTTCCCAGAATTAGCTCCCCTTTTCGCTCTTCCTTGGCTTTTTGGGGTTCCCTTTGTTTTCCACTCGCCAGGCAATAAATAGATCTCATTTTTTGCTGGGGTCCTATTTCCAGCCTAGGTGTGTGGGCGCTTTTTGAGGGTACCCTTTTTGGATAGCAAAGAGAAACCCACAGGAGACCAAAGTCCATTTTGGCGTCCCCAAACAACCTGCACCTCCAAACGGGCCCTTGCTTCTGCCTTTGTACCTTCTAGTTGTGAGTCGAAGGCCTCAAAAAGGGGGCCGCTTGGGCCTCCCTCAAAAAAGACAATTCCCGATGCTTGGAAGGAAACCAGTTTCAAATTTGCCTGGAAGGAACTGCAGTTCTGGTCGAAAGACAACCCCGCACGTTTCCTTACCAGCCAGCCACGCCGTGTTCCAACCCGTTTCGCCTTACCGACGTGGCATGCCGCGCGCTCGGAACCTCGGCAGGATCGTGAAAGGCGAAGGACCCAAGCGCAGCGTGCCCGGCTGCCGCCTCAAACAATAAGGAGCCGCGGAGGGAGGGTTCAAAAGGACGGTTTCGGAGCGGGGCTGTTGGGGATATCACCTCGTGTTGTTTTGTTTTGGCTGTTGGGGGGGATACCACCTGTTTGTTTTTTTCTTTTCGGAGGAGGAGGTCAACTCAGCCTCAACTCAGGGAACTCTTGGTTGTTTTGATTGGGGATGGGATTTGATCTTGCTGGTTCTTGCAAATGAGAAGCTGACCACCAACCCACCAAGTAGAGGGAAGCCCAGTTCTTCCTTGGTGCGGCAAGTTTTGAGGGCAAGCTTCCAACCACGAAACCCAACACCGATTACCCTCCCCCCTTTCTCGGACCTCCAGTGCCTGGCTCTCACTCCAGCGAGGCCGCCTGGACTTGCCAAGCTGTTGTGTTTGGTGGTCATGGGGAAGAAGGGACACCCGTTGTTTCGCATAAGCATGTTGGAGGAGCAAAGCCCCCCCCAAAAAAATGGCACGGACTCACTTCCTGAGTGTGGTGGCAAAAACGGTGTTGCATTTTGCTTGGCTGATAGGACTTTAACTTTTTGCCAACTCATGGGTTTTCCGTATCAAACCACTAAAAGTTAGTCACTTTTAGCAGGGGAGCAGATTTCGTAACCTAGAAAAGTTAACAAGTCTACACCGTGCTGTTTACCAACATGGTCCAAAGGAGTGGCCTCTGCAGACTGCCCATAGCCCCCTAAGAATTGAGTTGCCGGTGTTCGACATCCGCTCAGCCAAGTAGAGGGAGTGTGAGGTTTTTCAGAGAATTTGTAGGGAACCCTGTAACCCTGTCGGAAGATGCTGCAAGGTGTTTGGTTATGATCTCCGGTGCCTCCAAGGGAATTCTTGGGGTCCCAAGGAGTTTGCAACTGAAATTCTGCATCTGGTGGTTGGAGGGGAGCCGGACTGGGAGCTGGGGGAATCCAATTAGCTTTTTCAGAGGGAGCCTGGAGGGAGCTAGCACTGGGCGACGTGGCAGTCCATGAACGGACCCCAGCCTCCCGCCTTGTTCCTCGGCTACAAAAAATCGCCATGCAGACTGAGGTCCGGTCGGGCTGCCAGCTGGCACCTTGGCTCTTGCCTCAGAGCGAGCGACCTTTTGATACCTTCCACTTTCCTCCAGATGGGGCATGGGGCGAGGTTTTGGAGGAAGCCAGGCGAGGGTTCGAACGGTTTCACGAGCTCACTGTGGGGAACGGTGCAGTACAGCTAGAAATCAGTGGATTGCATCTGGCTTCAAGAAAAGGGACCTCCCCAGTTGGCAAATGCCCCTTTGGACTTCCCAAGGCCATGGCGGAGTGACGCTGAGGTCCTGGAGGTGGCACACTTCACCTGCGACGAAGACCTGAGCCTCGTAGAGGCAAGGCCGAAGTGATCCGAAGGGAACGCCTTCGGGGAACCCGGGGGGCGGGGGAGCCGCGCTTCCCACTAAAAGCTAAAGACTTTAGCAAGAAGGGAATTGCAAGGACAGCCCAGTCAGTTGCAACCAAAGTGAATCGACCGGATCTGACCCTAAACGGTTTCCCCTTTGTAGCTTTCCAATTAGTAGTCAAGGTTCCCAAAAGGTTAACCTTTTGTTTCTGGGGCAACTGAGTGTGTCGATGTTTGTGTTGGGGGTACCACTTTCACACCTTAGCCCAGGCTGCAAATGGGGTTTCCTGGCCGTAGGTCTTAGACCTGGGGCCATTGAGAATCAAAACTCATACGGCTCGGCCCATTCACAGCTCCATGGTTGTTGCTGGGAAACATTTTACATTTTTGCTTATTGTGGTTTAGTGGTTGAAATCCTCACTTAGCTGCTAAAATTTAATTTTTTGCTCCCCTTCCAACGTCAACCAAGTTTCAGGGCTGCATGATGGACGTGACTCTACGGCTGAAGATTCGGTTTGGCTTAAGCATGGCTGACGCAGGTTTACCACTGTAAGTGCAACTCAAGGGAGTCCACAGGCAAGCAGGGCGATCAGAACCTACTGATATTTTAATTTCCGGCAGAGGTCCTATCCTGCACCTCATTCTGCTCCCAATATGTGTGGCTGACTCTGGCACGTATTTAGTGAGCCTTAAAACGTGACATGATGTCAAATGAAATCCCCGCCTTGTGGACGCATCAAATCAGCAGAACAAACAATCATGATGCGGACAGAGACCCCGCCGTTCTGCTTGCTTCCCCAATGTTTGTGGATACAGAACTCCATTTGGGAATTGACTGCGCGTGTGCGTGCGCGTGAATGTGTGCCTGGGCATGTGCGTTGCGGTTTTCGGGTATGTCTGTGTTTGTGTCTTTGTGTCTTTATGTGTTTGTGTGTTTGTGTGTTTGTGTGTTTGTGTGTTTGTGTGTTTGTGTGTTTGTGTGTTTGTGTGTTTGTGTGTTTGTGTGTTTGTGTGCTTGTGTGTGTGTGTGTGCGGTTGTGCGTGTGGGTCACGTGCGCGTGCGCGTGCGGGTTTGTGTCCCCGCTAAAGAAGGCATGCTTAGAAAGCGCGCCACATACACCTGGAGTACGTCCCCTAAGTAGGTCAGTACCAGCCCCACTGACCACCAACTAGGTACCCTGCCTCAAGCTTGTTGCCTTATCTGGCCCTTTGAGCCTACGACATCCGCCGACTTGGTTTCAAGCCGCGCGCGCCGGTGTGGCCTCAATGAAGAGAGGCCTGGAGGGCATTCCAGTCCTCCCTTTTGCAGAAATCTAAGATCAGTACCACGACCCCCGGGGGTTTCTTCATCCTGACGGGATGCAAAGCGCTTGGCTTCAACCTGGGCTGTTCAATATAAATCCGAAGATTCTTGTCAAACGGTAGTGGTTTCCCTCGTTGTCATAGGTGTCTTTTTTGGTTGTTTTGGTAGAAAAATAGATGGCCCTGGTTTACCTGGTGGTTTAATCATCTACCAGGGCCATCTATTTCCCCTAAAAGGACGCCAATGCTCGTTGTCTCACTTCCCGAGTTCCTGCACGCTATACTTTTCGGGAAGACTATTTTAGTGGCCAACTCGTGAGCTTCTTCAGCCAGCCAACTCAGGAAGTGAGTGCAACTCCTGTGAATGGATGAGGAGAGTCGCAATCCCCCTTTGAACAACCCAGGTACCGGACGATGTTTTCACAGAGTTGTCGCAAGTTTTCTGAGAAACCTGCGGAACCAGGAAATTCTACCGGGAGTCAGCCCAACCTCCCGCTTTTGATGGGTAGTTGGCGAACTTCCCGCAGAACTTGCAGTGTGGCCATTCCAGCGTAAGGGATGCTCTGGCCCTCCATTGACACTGCACAAGAAAAGAACAAGCTTTTTAGTCAAGGGGTGAAGCAAGCTCACCCATCAAGGTTCCTCACTTCAGGATTGAACTGAGATCGGAAATTTGGTGCGAATACGCATCATACAAAGTATGCGTTTTACCTTCTAATTGTTTGCACTCACAGATTTAAGCACAGTTCCCCGTGTTGTTTCCTATTTTCAATCGCTTGGAACAATTTCCCATGTTCTCTGAACCAGGCAACCCTCAATTTGTGGTTTGGATTGGTGGTTTGGATTTGGATGTGAACCCCCCTGGTTCTTGTAGACTGGGAAACGACTTAACCGAGGGAAGCTGACTGAAGTCTGTTTTGATTTCAAGGCATCTGGTTTGTGAAAATCGCCCAGGATGAAGCTCATCCTCGCATGGCTGTTGACAGCAGCCGCTGTTCAGGACCGCTGGGTCATACTGTGTATGGTTGCGAAATCCGTTCGCACGAAATCAAGCCATGGTTGAAACCATACCGTTTGTTGATACTTACAGGAAACAAGTATCAGAAAACTAGGGTTTCTGACCGGCGCGTTGGATGGATTTCGAAACATCCACTGTTTGGGGCCTCAGGGGCGCCGGGACCTTCTGGCCTCGCTGTCTCCGAACGCAAAAAGCAGCACGCTTCCCTTTCTCCGTCGTACGGTTTTTTGGCACGCGGCAAGTGACACGTTCAACCAAATGGCGGATGCGACTTGTGGCGGATGCGAGGATTCACTTGAAGCAGGCGATCCCAGTAAAATAGACACACCCTTGCCCGGAGTCTCCATGACCCTTGAAAAATGGGGTCGTGACCCCTTTATGTTGGAAGATCACCGCATGTTTAAAGGGTCAGGGAGACTCCATAAAAAGACGTCCCCCAGCATCTTCAAGCTCCGTTGCGCATAGGATTTGGGCGGCTTTGAGGAGGACCCGCAAGGCCTGGGAAGGGGACACGCGGAAGGCGTCTCGGCGGCTCCGTTCTCGTCAAGGTGAACCTGAGCTGAGCCGTGCTGGACTTGTTGCCATTCGGGCTTCCTTCATTTCCCGGGTTGTCGGGAAGTACTCGCTCCCTGAGGACTTCAGCAAGAGGTTCTCTAAAAGCCCCCTAGGTGGTGAGACCATCTCCGTGGCTCGTTTGCTGTTTTTTTTGCGGGTGCCCGATTGGTTTCCCCCGGCCACCAAAAAGGGGTACCCACTCACCTAGTTTCATGTCATCCTTATTCTCTCATTCACCGTCACGATTTTTTGGGTGTAAGGCTGTTTGGATCAAATCGTTTTACCCGGCTCAAGCTTATGTGTGTGTTTTTTGTTTGGGGGGGATACGGTTGGGAACGCGTGGGAGGTAGAAGAAACACTGACCAAGCGAAAAGGGGCTCCCCAACACTGTGTGTGTTTCCTTTTTGGCTTTTCTGTGAAGCAACCCCCAGCAAAAGAAGCAAGAATTGGAGACAGGCAAGCAAGACATGCGCATTATCCATTGTGTTTAGGCCTACGCATTTTGTCTTAGGCCATGTCTCACGCATCCAGTGGTGCTGTTTTTCTTGCGACCAGTTCTAGAAGTACTTTTTGCTGAATTCCTTTTGCCCCTGCAATTTGTCTGTGGAATTCCTCAGCCACTTAGAGCACATTCAGGTAGGCCGGGATCAGTGGAGGGACAGAGGACCCACGTGCCCCGAGAATCTTAGAACAATTGGTTTTAAAGCCTTTGTTTTGCCAGGTTCGATCAGAACCTTTCCGGTTTCCACGGGTTGTCCCATTTGCAGCAAGCGGAAACCGTTTGCCCATGACCTCGTGGTCAACGTATTAAGTATCACTGGGACCTTTTTTGGCCTCCTACATGCTCAGGATCACTGAGGATGAGCCATGTGAAGGGTGTGTCCTTTGGTGAGGGATTTGTTGGATGGCTTGAAAAGGGACCTTCTTTTTCTTTTTCTTTTTTTTGTTGGGGGGGGGGCCCTAAAAAGAGACGCATCCACATGTAATTTGATTTGGGGCAAAGGCTGAGCAAAGCGCTGCAAAGATGCGTGTTTGGGTTTTGTTTTCCGCCAGGTGTCTTCCACCCCCGGAACGCGGACGACGGAGGCTTGTCTCTGCCAGCGTGACGGGAGGGAATTCGAAGGGAGGGGAGGGAGTGAGGTCCGTGGACGACTTCCATTTGCTTAAAGATATACGTGTGTCTTTTCCCTTCTCCCCCTGTTGATCTTAAAGGGGCCATATCACCGGAAGCAAAGTGGAGTCCGGGTGCCAAGATCGCTCAGTCGCAGGTGATGCGGAGGTGCTCAAGGCGGACGTCGCCGACGTGAAGGCGGAGCCGGCGCCTGTCGTGGAGGGCGATGTGCAGGCGGACGGATGAACAAATGGATGTCGGATGACGTCGGTGTGTCCATGTGCAGGGGCCCTCCAAAATGGTGGTCTTTAACCCCCCAACAAGAAAGAACAAACAATAGAATGGGAACCTGGAAAAATACAGAACCATGGCGTGAATTTGGGAATTGGCACCCTTTCTCAGGCGATCATTCAATTGGAACCAAAAGGCAATAGCTGGAAAAATAACACCCATTGTAGGGGTCACCCAATTTCATACCCAAATGTTGGGTCATGCACCAAGTGTCACATGTTGACCCAGTTGCTTAGTGGCTCCCTTCCCCATGCTAGTGGATTCCATTCAAAACTCGTGGCCCAACACAAGCCCCTCAGTGCTTTATGTCGTTGGCTTCCATGGTTTTTCTGTGTTTTCCTTGGCGTTCCCTTGGGTTTAAACTTGCTTTCCTGCTGGCCCCGGTTCAGAAAGTGGCTGAACCTCCAAACTGGGTTCTCCACCCTAAATGTTTGTCTCGTTTGCTCATTCAACAGCAACTGTCTCACTTTTTCAAAGCCAAAGCGAATCGACCGGATCTGACCTTTTCGTTTGCCCTTGTTGGTTCATTCTTAGTGCCAAGAGGCAATCACCTTTTAGTTCCAGGCCCAGACCCCTCACTTGGGCAAGTGAGGGAGCTCTTGGGGTCAACTCTGAGAAGAGTTTTGGGGAATCAAGCCTTGGATTTTTTTTCAAACTGGGAATGTGTCAAAGGGACACCACCACCTTGCTGGTGCCAATCTTGTGGTTCCCTTGCCAACCTGAGGAAAGGGCACCAACTCGGAAAAACAAAAACACACACACACACATGCAACCAAATGAGGCTGCCGTGAAACAACTCGGGAAACTAAAAGGAACTGTTTGAGTTGCTATGACGAACATGTTTTTGAGAAATGAAAGGTGCCCAGGGACCTCACTCCCCTTAATGTTGACCCCGGATTAATAAGCAGTTTATTTGCGAATACTCCAAAAGTGGTCTGAATTCCCACTAAACCTAAGGACACCCCCATATGAATGAACTGGGGTTTGTTGCTCTGGGTCAACAATATACTGGACGCACATTTTGGTAGGCCACACATATTTTCCAATAAGGTCGTCCGTGGTCCACTAACTGCCTTAGCTCTTATTTTTATGGTTTTTTACTCTGGGGTCAACATGATGTTATTCCTCGGGGTTTCTGACGATTCCCCCCAGTAAATGCCAGCAAAGCACTGATTTCAACCATGGTTTCATGGTTCGAACGGATGTCGCAACAAGGTTGTGGGATCAAGGGGTTTATCCCCACTTCTGTGATGCAAGTCGAAATCCCCTCCTTACATGAAGGGGTAGTCTTTGGGGGGGCCTTTTTCTTGTATCACAGTGGGCATGTCCCACAGCCCTGAAATCCGCAGGAAGTTGCCGGGGGCGGTCAGGTGGCCGCCGCCCCGGTGAAGGAGGTGCTCCGGGTCCTGAGGGCCCTCTCCAAGCGAGTGGACCTGCGAGACAGGAGACGAAGTGACAGCCACTTTCGAAGCGATGTTCGACGAACGAACAGCGCCGGGGGAAAAAAAAACACGCTGCGGCTAGGTGTTTGACGTTTTTTTGTCGGGGGTTATCCGTTTGGTTTTTTGGGGCATCAAAGTCGGGACATGGGGGTTTGTCCCTTTCACCTTTCAACTTGCTACTTGGGGGGGGCCACGCTCGGCCCGCCACCCTTGAAGCCGACGACCTCGGGGGCTCGTGCAGACATTCTCGCTGTCCTGGAACTCGATGAGGGGAGTGAGATCTACAACTCGACCAGTTGCCTGGTGGATTGCGCCCCTTTTCTCGACATGTGTTTTGGAATCGGAAGAGACACAAAAACAAGGGGTTCCGATTCCTAGCTCAGCCAACCAAAAAAGGATGCCCGATGCCGATTCTGTTTTTCCCATGCAAATCCACTGGACATCAATTTTTCATCAAGCTGCTCCTGCCCCCAAACACAAGCCCACAAGCACACCTCCAGTCTGAAGAGTGAATGGAAGTTGGGGCCTCGCTATGTCCTGACGCCGTTTCAGCGATGTGGGATGTGGTGCTTGTTGTTTAATTTCTTGGGAAGACACATTTCAGGGGTAAGCAAGAAGCTTGGACTTTGTTTTGCCGATCCACTCGGGAAGAGAGCCATGCCCTTGCCAAGTACCGATCAGATCGTTTGAGCCAAGGAAGTGGGCATTATGTCGTTCGGCCTTATGTCCATTTATGTACTGATGGCAGCCAGTTCCCATTTGTTGGCTCCATGCGGCGAGTTGAATCTTCATTGAACCACCTCAGTGGTTGGTTGAGGTGTTCTTAGTTGGTGTTCAGAGCCAGAGGTTGGTCCATTTGTCCACTTGCCAGAGGGCCCCTAGTTTGGGCCTCTAGATGTGTTGAGCCACAAGCTCTACTGCTGTTGGGTTGGATCTTTCGACTTTAACCTTTTTTTGGGATTCCCCTCCTATTTTCTTTTGACCGGCAAAAAGTCAAAACACTTTTTGCTGGGGGATCCCGCCAGCACCCAAGCAAACCTCCACCTCAATGATGCTGAATTGGGTCCGCCGACAACTCGAAGAAGTGGATCGAACTCCAGATACCCAGGTTGCTTCCTTTCATTTGGTGGCTCGTAGGCCTAGAAGCGTGTTTTGGGTTCCCTCCAAGAACCGTCCAAGAGAGTATACCCTCAAGATGGACATAGTATCCCACGGTTAGGAGGGGGTGTTTCCCTTCAACATCACCAATAGAAGAGTGACCCTTTGTCATATGGCCATCGGGTGTGTCAGTAAACAAATCCTACCATGGCAGCATGTTGCAAGGTTGCCCTACAATAACTGAAAGTGAAGCGATCCAAAGAATCATGTCCAAAGCTAGCAGCCTTTTGACTTGTTGGTATTTGCATGCTGGTCTACGCTGGTCAAGGTTCCAAGATGTTGACTTGTAGCCCCTGTGGCACACACATGTCTTTATATATTATAATATATATAGGCACGTATTTGTATATATGTACTTATGCATATGTTATATCAGGGGCCTAGCTCCAGTCATGAGGTCACGACTCCATGCATAGGAGAGAGAAGAAGATCTACGAGGAGTTTGGACAGTACTGTTGACGCCTCAGAACCTCCGAACATCAATTGCAGGGCCCTCCAGTGACCCGCTTGCCAGCAAAAGCGGTGGGGGGGGGCGGTTGGGGTCCTGTGGCCTCTCAGCTTGGGCCCAGAAAGAGTGGGTTCATGTTAGGGGCGCTTGCGTCACACTCAAGTCGAGCGAGCACAAGCAAAGCAACAGAGCCCCCGACCTGCCGTGCATTTGAGAAGCCGTTGCTGAGTTCCCCGAAAGGAGTCAGGGCAAGCGAAACCGAGTTTGCCTTTTCGGTCACAATTTGAACAGGGTATCGACCGGACAATGAGTTCCAAATTGTTTTATGATGTCGGTTTCGGGTCAGGCTGGTGGATTGGAGTGTTTCCCCAAGTCGCGGATCTTTTGCCGACGGAGAGCTCCATTGAACTGGTTTCACAAACGACGCGGAGGGCTTACCTCAGGTGTTTCCCGGTTTGGGAAGGATTTGGAACACGCGGTTTACCATGACATCCGCTGGGTGGCTTCTTTTTTATGTTGTTTTTTTGGAGGAGGCGTCCCTTTAAAATCAATGCCCAAAAAGGGCCGGGTCACCTTTGGGGTGGGTTATGGAGCCAACTCTTGTTTTTGAACGGCCAAGCCCATTCCACATTCGCCTCTGTGTGGTGAAGGCTCAAGAAGTGGAACTGGACCTCCGATCCCCTTTGACGTTATACAGTAGTTAGTCATGTCTGGACGGGGAGCAACAGGCTTGGTGGAATGTTAACCCCGGATTAAGCAGAACCCCTGGTTGATTTTGATTGGGGGGTGTCCAATTCCTTTTAGTGATTTTGATTGGGGGGTGTCCAATTCCTTTTGGTGGTTCAGACCACTTTTGGAGGGAACACCCCCCTAATAATGGGACGGGCTCTACTTAGATCCTGGGTCAACATTAATTTTGGGCCAACTTCGAACCATTGGGTGTTCAAGCGTTGAGAAACTGGGGTTAGTGCTCTCACAGTGGTGAAGGCACCCCCAGCCCTTTACAAATGGAATTGGGGGAGGGGGTGACCCATGTACAGTTCAGTCTTCCCTATGTATTTCTATGTCAAACACTAGATGCCTGGAATTGGGGGACCCAATTCCCCCCACCCCCCTCCCCTTAGGTAGGGGGTATTCTGCTTAGTTCAGGTAGCTTTGCGGGCCAAATCGTCGATTTCAGGTTTGAAAGGCTCCGGGTCCCTGGAGAAGAGTCTCAAGGACCCGGTCTCGACCTCCGGACGTCCCTTTTGCCCTCGCTGGTGGTGGCAGTTTTTGCCCAACGTCTAGTGGGCGACTTCTTGTTCCTTAAGGGGACTCCTTTCAAAAAGGGAACTCTGTTCCTCTTTTTGTTTCCTCCGGGATGGGTGAATTGCCAATGAAATTTCCTTAGGGGCTTCGGAGTGCTTAGGGGGTTTGCGTTTGCCAGAAGCCACTGGGCTTAGTTCCAACCTCTTTGCAAAACCGTACCATTTTGTAGCAATTCGATCCCAACCAGCCGTCCTTTCTCAAAAACCAACCGCTTCCCATTTGATTCTGGGTTTGGCTTTCTGCAAGAAAGGATCCCTGGACATATTGGAGCCAGCTGGACAGCAAATCTGGAGCTCCCTCTCGGGCTGGTACCTTCTCCCTCAATTACTGGGGTATCCAAAACTATGTTCTGTTTTGGGTGGGCTACATGTGAAACAGAATCAGCACTTCTTATTTCTGTGTGTGCGTTCCCGTTCAACCCCCCAACCCCTCCCCCCCTCCCCTTCCCCATGTCCCTTGAGGCCACAACCCCCCCCCCAACCCCCCCCCAACCAACCCCCCAACCAACCCCCCCCCCCCCCCCACTTTCCCTTGAGGGTGGGCGGATTGTTTTTCCCCCCGAGGAGTCCCAAGCCGAGCTGCCGCATCTGCAGCTGGGCCTCGTGGAGGCGGAGAGGAGGCGCCAGGCGCTGCTCGAGGAGATGCAGGCGGGGTTTGCCGCTCGGGACGACTCGACTCGGGGGGACGGCTCGCAAGGCTCCATGTAGGGGAACCCCCATGGAAGGGAGGGGTTCCTGGTGGATTGTTTTTTTTTTTGGCGTTCATGTGAACCAACCCCCCCCCACCCCCAAAAAAAGACAAGACGAAAGGTACTCATTTCACTGCGATGGGAAAGCACAAACAAGGCAAGAACCACCAAGCACAAACAAGGGACGCGAGCTAGGTGCTCAAAACCCGAAAATTGATGGCTGTGGTTTTGTCAAAACCAAATTTTGGGATCCCATTTTGAGCCGATTGGGTGAATTCACCACCCATTTTAGTTAGTCTAGTTTAGTGGTTAGATTGGGATGTTCACTATAGGAGTTTGACCCACCAGATGAATGTTAGTAAGGGACAATCCCAACCATAAATAGCTGCGGATATCCGACTTCTTAAATTCTTTACATGGTTCTGGGTCGACCATTTTGATACCGGGGTTTGATTGTGGCTCACGTGGGGACGGGGACGTGAGAGAAGTCCAATTTCTCAAAACCCGGAGATTGCTCCAAAACCCGAGGATGAAGAAGTGAAGAAGTCCCAACCAAGAGTTCGGGTGGCTTCGCCGCCTGGTGAATTCTTGAAGCATGGGTTGCGGGTTAGTACCGGGGTGCAGAAAATTCAGCGATTGAAGGTTAAGGGCGAATCATTACCCACAATCATACGTGCCGCCCACAAGGTCTTATTATGCTGTATGATCGTGCTTTCAGGTTTAGGGTTTTTAGGGTTTAAGTTTAGGATTTTTAGGGTTTACGTTTAGGGTTTTTAGGGTTTATGGTTTTAGGGTTTCGGGTTTTCAATATTTTAGTGTTTACGTTTAGGGTTTATAGGGTTTAGGTTTAGGGTTGTTAGGGTTTCGGTTTAGGGTTTTAGGGTTTGGGGTTTCAGGGTTTAGGGTTTCTAGGGCTTAGGTTTAGGGTTGTTAGGGTTTAGGTTTAGGGATTTTAGGGTTTTCAGGGGTTTCTTTTCAGGGTTTTCAGGGTTTTCAGGGTTTTCAGGGTTTTCAGGGTTAGGGTTTAGGGTTTTTTTGGGTTGAGGTTTAGGGTTTTTAGGGTTTAGGTTTACGTTTTTCAGGGTTTGGGTTTAGGGTTTTGAGGGTTTTTAGGGTTTAGGATATCTAGGGTTTAGGTGTCGGGCTTTTTGGGAGTTCTTCGAGGCCTACCCTACCCGGAGAATGCATGGCACCAAAAGGTATTGTGCCATCTGCTTTTGCTGCAATAAGGGTTTTTACCTCCCCCCACCCCCCCCCCCCCACCCCTTTTTGGAAGCATATCGCCGTATGTTTGAATCGGGAACTGCTTTTTTGCAGTTATGCCATCCACCCCCGAAATATACGTCGGAAGTGCCATCTATTCTTCGGTTAGTGTACTAGAATTGGGGTTGAGCGATCAACCCTCCAAAGGGTCTTAATTGTTGTTGCGCCTGTTCTTCGGGGCTGGTGGAAAAGGTTGGGGAGAGGTCAGGGGAAGGACACCACCACTTTGGTGCATTTTGCTTGGCTGTTAGGACTTTAACTTTTTGCCAACTAATGGGTTTTCCACTAAACCACTAAAAGTTAAACTTTTAGCAGGGGAGCAGAAAGCAACCGAGAACAGGATTATGCTTATTGAATGCTTGAAGTCGGTTCCTTCTTTTTGCAACTTCCAACCTGTTAGCCCATGCGCCTAGGGGCTGGGTCCGAAAAAAGCCCCAAACTGGTCGTGGGAACGGCCGCGAAGGCAGCGCTCCGCTAGCTCTACTTCCTGGTTTTAATGCGGTATACCTCTGTTATGTGTGTGTGTGTGTGCATGTCATTTTTGAGGGTAGCAGGGAGACCACCATGGGCTCGGTTTCCCTGTTCTCAGACAAACCCACTTGTCTAAGACAGATACAGACACCCATTGGTTTCCTACGTTGGGATACACCCATATATCCATATATATATATTAAAATTTGTATATAAGTAAACAAACAAACAAATAAAGGGACCAGTGAATGAAGAGATACTATAAGTAAACAAACAAACAAATAAACAAGTAATGGGACCAGTGAAATATACGTATATATATATATACCTGAAGCAAATGAACAAACAAATAAACCAACAAATGAAACAAGTGAATGAATAGATACATAAGTAGAGCACACCGCCATCCCTTGTAGGAGGCACTTTGTGTCTTTTTCTGCCCACCCTGCCTCGCAGGTGCACGAGAACGAGGCGGCGGGTTGCAAGTCCGCGCTGGCGGGCGCCTCCGCCATCCGCCAAGAGGAGCTTAAGGCCTACGAGAAGGCGACACGACGCGTCTGACGCGGATTGGTGGGCGGTGTGTGGGCCCAGCCATGCCGAAACCAGAGCTAAAGGCCCAAGGTCAGTGGACCTTTAGTTGTTCAAAGCTGCCCTTTGGAGCTTCTGGCTTTCCCTTTTTGGTCCGGAAAATGGGTTGGTTGGCCTGTCCTTTCCGAAGAAATCCCAATCCTCCATCTCATTTAAACCACCATGTCAAGAGTAATAAGAAGATGTGAAGGGAAAGTATGAGAATGGGAAATAGAGGATTGATTGGAAAGGAAATAAGAGACGGCATACCTTCCCGTTCGTTACCTCACTCATTCTGCTGCCCGAAACCTTTTGGGTGTTGATCAACTCACTTCCTGAGTTCCTGGATTCGGACGCCTATGGGAATTTTGTGCAGCGAGCTCCTCTGACCTCGTTTCATACTCACTCCCTGAAATCCGTTTCTGACTTTAGGCTTGGACCATTTTCGTGGCCAACAAAAAGTTCAGACTTTTTGACGGCCAATCCACTCAGGAAGTGAGTTAAACATATGGCTAGCTGGTGGTTAGAATGGAGCCAAGCAGCTGCAGGTATCCAAATTTGCTTGTAAATAGGAATGTTAGGAGTTCTGTAAGGAACGGGTAGATGTGTGTGTTGATCAACTCACTTCCTGAATTCCTAACTGTTTGGCAAACGGTTCATATTTTGTTTGCAAAACCCACTCTCGGAAAGGAGTCAAAAGTAATCCCCGCTGCCGTTTTCACCATGTCAGACCTTTGCTTACGGCCTTCTTTATGGTGGGAATACGTTTGGTTTATGCGGCTGGCAGTGAAACCAGGCTGGTTTTGGATGGGCCCCAGCCTTTGCAGGTTTTGGTTAGTCTCTCATCGGTTTCTGGTGGTGATATCGAGCATTCACGCGGGAATGTTGGGGTTTTGACGGGGGGGGGGTGATATGGGGATATTTTGATTGTTTGGGGACGCTATTTGTTTAGTTTTGGACAATGTATTTGGTGTTTTTTTTCGGGATGTGTTTGTTTTTTGTTTGGGAAGCCAGTTTGGGTGACCAATTCCCAAACAACGTGCAGCCATGGTGTTGAGATCTCAGGAGCTGGCCACTTTGACCGGCAACCAGCGGAGGCTCCAAGAGCTTTTGGCGCAGGAGCGGTGCAGAGAATTTGCGAATAGGTCGCAGAGGGTCGGCTCTAGTGGTTGGGTGTGGCTCCATGTTGGGGAAACGCCAATGTGGAGGGGGTTCCTTGTGGTTTCCCTTTTGCGTTCATGTGAACCAACCCCTAAACAAGAAGGTGCCATTTTTTCACTGCGATGGGAAGCACAAGGCAAGAACCACCACGGTAATGTATAAGCAAAGGGAGCTAGTCCTGAGCAAAGTTCAATGGGAGAGGATCCTTTGGATTTGCTGAGTCAGCTAATGTTTAATTTTTCCCAAAGGGGAGCCAAGTGGGCCAGTGTAAGTGCGCGTTTGTTTTCCCCCAGTCCTTCCAAGAACTGAGCATTCCTCGGCCATTTGGCCTGGACCTTTTCTAATTTGACAGAGGGTGGATAGGGGAGGGCGAGACTTCCTGAGTTCCTGGACTTTAAACCTTTTTCGCTTGGGCCATTTTAGTGGCCAACAACACATTCTTGGATTCTTTCTTTTGGGCCAATTCACTCAGGAAGTGAAGTGAGTATTTAGAGAATGCGTGGGTGCTGGCTCTCTTCGCGGCTATCGAAAAACCACACAATTCGCACAAGCCGTGCTTGTTATGACAGTTGTTCTTTAGCAGGAGAGGGTGTGGGCAGTTGTTCAGCGGCACTCTTTGCACGGGCAAGCCCAGCGACTGGGTTATTCCAAGAACCCACCGATATTCTTACCTTTGCTCCGTTTCACCTTTATGACTAAGCAAAAGCTACACGTTCCGAGCTTTATGTTCCATGTTTAGGGCATCAGTGCCCCTTCATGGGGCTGAGTTTGCTTGGCTGCTATGTGGCTGGATCTTGAACCCTTGACTTGTTGGTCAAGCTGGGGCGTTCCACATGGAAGGAAGCAAGTTGAGGACCTTTTTGGCTAGTGCCAACTAGCCCAAAATATGTTTAATTTACCCAAGGGCAAACCAAAAGGCACGAGTAATTGTTTAACTTTGGCAGCCGCCCCCAAACGAAAGACCCCAAATCCTGAGTAGCTTTTGGGGGTACCCATTTCATTGTGTCTTTTTTTCGGAGTTGGTGCCATGGTTTGTGGTGGTTTTAAAGGGCAACCACTAGGGACACCGAATTCCATTATGGGGGGTCCGATTCCTAAGAAAAAAGCAGGCCCATTTACGTAATTATTTGCCCCCGTTGGTTCTCAAGTTGGAATCAATTTCACTGTTGCACAAGTTTTTTCGGGGGGGCTTGTTCGCACATGGAGGTTTAGCACCCTAACGCCTTCTTCTCGGCATGTGCAGGACGGCACAGCCCTGGCACAGCTCTCAAGAGGCGCGGCTGTCTTCGATCGGGCGGGTTCTCGATTTGGATTGGTTTCAAAGTGAACCAAAAGGAAGCCCTTGCCATTCGTTGCGGGTTGCCCTATTTGCACAAACCCAGTCTGCAACCGGTTGTTCAGTGCATCCCACCGCCCCCTTCCCAGCTAAAATGGCCAACCTTAATAATCGGAAATGTGTGTGTGTGTGTGTTTCTGTTTGTGTTTGTGTCTGTGTGTGTTTGTGTGTTTGTGGTTTGTGTGTGTGTGTGTTTGTGTGTGTGTGTGTGTTTGTTTGTGTGTGTGTGTGTTTGTGTGTGTGTGTGTGTGTTTGTTTGTGTGTGTTTGTGTGTTTTTGTGTTTTTGTGTGTGTTTTCAGTGTGTTTTTGTGTGTTTCTGTGTCTTTTTGTGTTCTTGTGTGTTTTCTGTTTTTTTTTGTGTTTTTGTCTGTTTTTCTGTGTGTGTGTGTGTGTTTCTGTGTGTGTGTGTGTGTGTGTGTGTGTGTGTGTGTGTGTGTGTGTGTGTGTGTGTGTGTGTGTGTGTGTGTGTGTCTGTGTGTGTGCGTGTGTGTGCGTGTGCGTGTGCGTGTGCGTGTGCGTGTGCGTATGCGTGTGCGCGTGCGCGTGCGCGTGTGTGTGCGCGTGCGCGTGCGCGTGCGCGTGTGTGCACGTGCGCGTGCGTAATGGTGCGTGCGTGCGTGCGTGCGTGCGTGCGTGCGTGCGTGCGTGCGTGCGTGCGTGCGTGCGTGCGTGCGTGCGTGCGTGCGTGCGTGCGTGCGTGCGTGCGTGCGTGGGTGGGTGGGTGGGTGGGTGGGTGGGTGGGTGGGTGGGTGGGTGGGTGGGTGGGTGTGTGTGTGTGTGTTTGTGTGTGTGTGTGTGTTTGTGTGTTTGTGTGTTTGTGTGTTTGTGTGTGTGTTTGTGTGTGTGTTTGTGTGTGTTTGTGTGTGTGTGTGTGTTTGTGTGTGTTCCCCTACTACAGTAGACAAAAAAGAGAAAAGTTGGTACCCTTATTCTAACCTCTCTACTGGAGGACCTAGTTGTGGTTGTTTTTTGGAGTTGATTAAGGTCAGAAACTGAGGTTGTTTCCCTTCAACCTGCCACTTAGGGACTGACTTTGCCAATTGATAAATAATGGGGCCAGTGATCATGACAGAAGCTGCGCTTGCTTGATGGCTCCTTGACCAAAACAGCTGTTTGGTTGGCTTCCCCTGCAACTTACCTGCGAACGCAGACATGGTTCCCTTTTATTGTCCCAGCCAACATGGGCCACCGAGCTCGCCTGGCAGGCGCCCAGAACTCCAGCGAGTCCTTGAGGCTAAGCCTGTCTTCAAGCAGACGCTTGGCCGACTCAGGGACTGGGGGGCTCGTGGGTTCAAATCCTGGACCGGCGTTCGGTGTGGCTCCAGGTGTTTGTTTGATTGTGTGTTTTCTTCGTCTCGGTTGGTTAAAGGAATCCGGCTTTCGTTTTGGAATGCCCGGTTTTGGCCGGCAAGGGAAAGCAACATGAAGCCGCTTTCACCCATGTGCATTAGTTGACAAGCCTTTTGATCTTACCTATGTATGTAGACCACCCCCTCAAAGACCCCTCCCACAATTTAGGGCTGACAAGGGGTTGAGCCAAAATGATGCCACATCTTCCGCCAACTGATGCCAAATGAATCTATGTGTCACTATTGTTGTCTTTTTGGTTTCACTTTAAACCAAGTCTCATTCTCGAGTTCCTGGACTTGGTACTTTTTTGGGCTTAAGGGCGATTTTGGTGGCCAACGATTCCCCTTCCCTTAAAGGAACCCAGCAGGTCCACGGCTTTTCTTCGGCTCATTCCATTTCTCATTCCCCACCTATCCCACCAGCAAGTTGCAAGATTGCACATCTAACTGTCCACTCCAGATTAATAAACCCTTGGTCCACCAGTAGCGAGTTCATCAATAATTAAAAGTTTTCACCCCCCCTAATATGGGAGCGGTCTATGAATCCTGGGTCAACATTGGTGCCAAAAGCCGGCCCCAGTTGAGTCGCCCAGCGCCTGCTTGAGTGATGAGAGGCACGGCTGAGCTGCTGGAGCTGCTGCAAGACCCCGGCGCCACGCAGGGCCAGAAGATCCAAGTCATGGCAGGGGCCCTCAGCCTTTGTCAGTGCCTTCATCTGAGGGCGCTTCAGCTGAGGGGGGGGGCAATGACCTTGGGCTAGGTGCCCCAGTAGTGCCCTTTTACCCCCTTTTTTTGGGAGGGGGGGAGGGTTCCCCTACTAAAATAGACTACAGAAAAAGGGTATCCGTATTCTAACATCTCTGCTGGAGGAGCTAGTGGGTGCTCCTTTGCTTTACCATTAAAACCACAGCGGCTTTCTTGACAATCAAGACCCAGGTACTTGGAGGGTAGTAAGGGGCAATCCCAGCCATAAATGGGTGCGGTCGCCTTTTCAGTTCTGCACATGGCTCTGGGTAGACCATAAAAATACCGGGCTGTGATGTTTGACTCACTTAACTTGGTTAAAAATCAAGGAACCATCCGGTTCACCTTGCGTTCTTAGGTTTGTTTTAGGTGGTTTAGTGGTTGTGTTCCATTCAACGCACCAACAGTTAAATACTGTTAGCAGGGGCAGCCCAGTTAAACCCAAATATCATCTGATTTGTTTACTTGGGTGTTCAGGCTCTTGGGGTTTAACTTTACCCGTTGCTCCCTGTCTGGGGCAACTGGGGTTGGCGCCATTGTAGCCATGGCCCTCACCCTGACAAAGTAGCTTGAACACCCATGAAAATACAGGTATGGGTCAAAATCAAACCACCGTATGGACCGCAGGTTTTATCCCAGGTTTCCAGTTACCAGGGTTCCATTTCGGGTACCAATTTTCATCCAGTATAGGCAAACTCCAGCCATATTTGTTCACAAGGCCTGGCTTTGTTTCGGCCAGAAACGCAATAAAGCTTGCCGCCCAGCCGCGGGCCGAGTTTCATAAATCCACCTTTTCTACTGTGGCCCTAGAATAATTCGATTCCCCAACGTATGTGCCAGAAAACGGTGTGGTTTTAACCATGTTTTTGGGTGCGAACGGATTTCGCAACCATCCACAGTATCAGAATAGGTTCTTTTCTTTTTTATCGGTGTCTCCTGGCCAGGAGATGCTGCGGAACATGCTGGACCCGGGCTGCGAGTCGGTTTGTTTGTTTCTTCTTTTTTTCTCCGGATCGATGGATCTGGGAGGGCTTGAGAGGAACATCGGCGCCCTTGGTGGTTTGGATTTGGACTTGAAGCCCTGGTTCCTGTAGAGGGGGGTACGCCTTCTAACCACCGGGCTCCAAGAGTGAAGCTGTTGGGCCGTTGAGGTGATTCAACCTACGGGTGAAAGTAGATGACACATTAGTTCCACACCATGTTGGTCTACCCAGTGCTTCTATAGTAGACAGCCAGGTATTGTTACCTCTAGGTGTTACATCATCCTATCCCCTGGTTACCTATTGTATCCTATTATAGTTGCTTGCCTGGAAGCACCAGTTTAGTTATCCCGTTTGCTCACCAACATGAGAACTGCACCATCTAGTTTCACCCTAGACCTATCGAACCAGCACTTAGGTGTTCCAGCAACAGATGCAAGTAGCTTATATATTTTAGCAGTGCTTGGAGGATTTTCGCCACTATGGCAGGCCGTGCTTTTTGCCATCTGGTTCTTTCTGGCTACCTACTGTGGCTTGCCTGGGAGCTCTGGGATGGTTCTAACCTACTTGACTTGAGTCGCTACCTCCCGCCCCTTGGGCCCGGGACCCAAATAAACCCGCAGATCCGCTCAGGAACCCGGAGCAACCTGTTTCGGGAACCCTACACAACCCGGAGGAGTTCTAGAAAATATTAGGCAATCAGGAACCAACAAAAATGGGAACCCCAGAAAACCCTAACAGGTGTCGGGAGCCCTACAACACCCCGGAGGAATCCCAGAAAGCCCTTGGCACTAGGGAACCTGAAAGCTCACAACTCGCCCCCCTTGAACGATTCCATAAATGGGTATGGGTCAAAATTAAACCACCAGGGGACCGCAGAATTTTTGGTCCACGTTTCCACTTGCCAGGGCAAGCCATGTTGGGTACATATTTTTGACCCGCAATCAAATGGCCGGTGGAAAAGCCAGATCTGATTCTTCAGGGCTCCCAAGGTCAGATTTTGTTTCCCCTAGGAGATATCAAACCGATGGCCGGAAGGGGGCCTCGGCTCAACTTTCCCAGAAGTAGCTCGCCCTTTTTGATGTGTTTGCTTTTTTTTCTTCTTCTTTTTCCGCTACCCAGGCAAACAATAATCATGTTTTGGCTGGGGTCCTAATTCCAGTCCTTTTTTTTGCCTCTGCCTTTGCGATAGCGCACAGTGTTTGTTGGACACAGCGATTTGGGGGGAGGGGGAAAGAAGGAGAAGGCCCCAAAAACAAGTCAGTAGCGCACTCTGTTCGACGCAGCGATTTGGGGGGAGGGGGAAAGAAGGACGCCCAACAAGTCAGTGTGTCTGCCATGTTTGTTGTTTTCTTCTCCTTTTTCGGGGCTCTCTTTGCTTTCCGCTACCCCCGGCCAAAGAAGTATAATAAAACAAAAAGAAAGAAAAACACGAAAAAAAAAAAAAAAAAAAAAAAAAAAAAAACATCTTGTTTGCTGGGGTCCAAAAAATGTCCAGCCCCTAGGAGGGCGTGGGCCGGGACTTGGCGGAGCTGAAGGCCCAGGAGCTGAAGCGCGCCACGGGCTTCCGCGCCATGGAGCGCCTCGCCCGGGCGGCGGACGGCTCATTGGGGTGGGACGGGGATGGGACGGATGGGACCCAACTGGGGGGGGGGGGGGAGGCCGGGGGGGGGGTCGGTATAAACACGGGAAACTTGCGTCCAAGGCGTTTTTTTTTTTTTGTGTGTGTGTGTGTGGATAGGTCGGTTGTTTAATGTGTGTGTGTGGGTCGATTGTTTACCCCCAAAGTGGTTGTTTTCCTTTTTGGTGTCCCTTGAAATCAGCACAACATATGTCAGAAAAAGACCTCAGTTGCACGCTTCTCATGAAATGTGCGCGGCCCTCTTTGGTACTTTCGCTCAGCGGCCGCGCCTTGCGCGGCACCTTCCATCCTTTCGGCCCATTTCGGAAAAAGTCCGGCCGTTTGTTTGCCGGTCCACTCACGGCTCGGCGCGGGAGACCTCGGCGCGAGAGACGGGGGGCTGGAGACTCGAGAGCCGAGGCGCGCGAAGGCGGAGGAGCTGCAGTCTCTGCAGAGGAGCCGCGAAGTTTAGCAGGGCTCCTTAAAAGATACATGTTGCCCATTTGAAACATGGCTTTTTCCACCAGAATAAAGGGAAAGCACAATTTTCAAGGCAATGCTCAGGTGTTAAATGTAAGGATCCCTGCTTAGGCGTTGGAAATGCCTACATGCTCGCTTGCCCAAGGCGAATGGCAAGCGGCCGCACCCCTTGGCTCTCGCAGGCTTTGCACGCCTTTTCCTGCCCTCTAACCTCCCCCTGTTCTCCCAAAACCAATAAAGACGACGGCCTTAGCTTGCAAGGCCTTCGGACAAAGATCCTGTGCTCACCTGCCGAAAGGACCTGAAAATACGGACGGCCTGTTGGAACCTTGACTAAGAACGGAAGAGCCAAGAAGGTTGAACTAAAAGGACAGATCCGACGAGGAGCCTCCAGCAGAAGAAGGAGAGAGACGCCGCTTTCCAGAAGCAGATGGCCTCTTTGCGGCTGGAACGCGAGGATGGGAGACGCGCTTGGGCTTTGGGTGCCGATGTCACCTTTAAGCGCGAATGAATCCGGAAGATCGTACTTGATCCCGGTAGGCTCCTGGGAGTTTCCGGTGAAAGAAATGTTGACCAATCAGTCTCGTGAACAAAGGCCGACCTGGTTTCGCTTTGGATCTCCGAATTTGGTCCACTTTCAGTCGAGGTTCCAAAAGACGTAACCTTTTATTCCTAGGTCCTTGGGCAACTGAGATAAGTATGAGAGTCCAGCCATGTCCAGCCGGATGGATTGCAATCCAGGACACAGCAGCTGTAGTGGACGATGCGGACAAGCTGACCAAAAGCTTGAGCAACTGGTGCGAGATCCGCAGAGGTCAGCACACAGAGATGTGCCCCAGCCGCGAATTCGGGATCATTTGGGCGTGGCATGGTGTCGCAATTTCAGGTTGGGGTGTGGCCCCTTCTTCTTTAGGATTTTTGGGACCCCCCAAAATGATGAGGTCCTTTTGATCGTCCTTCTAAACTACAAGAAAGGAGTACCCTCAAAAAGGAAAAGCGATTTGATTGCAGTCACCGGTACCTTGTAGGTACAAAGCTGCAGGGTTTGTGAGGTTGGTTAGCAACCCCTGGCCTGACTGAATCGACCCGCCCCCAAAATACCCCTGCTTACCGCCTACTTAGTAGCTTACTACCGGCTTTTGCAAGGGTACGCCTGGAGCCAAGCGTTGACATATGTTGAGCACATGTGTCATAACCAAATATGGCTTCGGTCTTCCAGTGGTTCCCTTAAACCACCCCTGACAAGGGTGCCGCGCCTCAAACCAAGCCGCCCAAAGGCGGCAGGAATTTGGGTCCCGGGGCCCCCCTCGTCACGCGACTCGTCGCGACTCGAGCGAGGCAGCTGAAGATGCAGGAGGAGAGCAAGACGCTGCAGAGCGCATCAAAGCTGCTGCCGGGGCTCCCGAACGACAATTGCTCACCTTGCAATCAAAGCAAACCCACCGGATCTAGCCTTAGACTTCTTTGTTTTCCGAGTTTGGCCTAAAGGTCCCAAACGACGATGGCGTTTTTCGCCCCCGGAGCCGTTGCGGAGCCATTCCATTTATTTTGTATCCTTAAGCAGCTTCCCTGAGGTGGTGGTTGGAGAGCCGGACTCGGAGCTGCTATCCCAAAATTTGCTTTACAGTGCGAGAAAGGGAGCTGGCAATCGGAGTTCTGGTTAAGACGACTTGGTTCGTCTTTTTGGTTCCAAAACGTGATTGACATATTTTCCAGGTCCTTTTCTGAGGCTTGGATGTGGACCCCTGGCCTTGGCTTGGTTGAACATACCCGCCAAGGCCTTGGGGGGTTCACTGGATTTGTAAGGGGCGACCTGGCGACCAGTTTTAGTCACCCCAAAAAGGGACTTTCTTTTGAATTTCTGGCCCCCCTTTGGGGGCAGCTGAGTCAATCAACTTAGCAAGTGATAACCATGGTTATAACTGGGGCGAGTGCTTTCTTGCTAAGTTGGCTGAACAGCAAAGTTGGGCCGTGTGCCGTGGTTGGTTGCAACATTGGGCATGCGCGTGTATGTATATGTGTGTGTGTCCATATTGAACTCGAGCCTAGAACGGAGTGGGGTACTTGAAAGCTATCTCAAGTCAGTGCAATCGCGTACCCGTCCCGAAAACAACAAATCGGGTTTTGCTCAATCAGGGAACCCAACATGTGGCCCTGAATTGTTGAACAGGGAACCACCTCAAAAGTGATTGGTGCCAATCTCGCCAATTAAGGAATTCAGATCTACATTCCGCCTTTGAGCCCGGCCACTGCCTTTCCGGAGGTTGGGCGGAGGCCTTGAGGGCTTTCAGCCCGTGGTGACCTTCTTGCAGCTCGCGCAGAGGCGACGCTAGGGTGCAAGAAGATTCATGAACCCCAGTTCATTCATGGGGACTCACTTCCTGAGTTCATGAACTTTAAGCTTTTTGGGGAGACCATTTCAGTGGTAAATATAAAGTCTGGACTTTTTTTGGGCCATCCACTCAGCCAGTGAGGGGATGTTCCCCTCCAAAAGTGGTCTGATTCCCACCCTAAGCCCAGGGACACCCCCCGATTGGACGCCTCTATGCGCTTTTGGAGAACATAGCTTTGGGCACAATAGAATTCGCTTCTAGTGTTCACCATTGCCAGACTTACTCTGCCTTTGGCCCTTAGGCCCTCGCGGGTTTCCTTCAATCGCTCCCCTGAGTTTATGGATTTTGTTATTGTTTGAGTTTTTACTAGCGGTGGTAAGCATAAAGGTTAGATTGTTGTTGTTCCTTTGGGCAGTGAGTCAATTTCCCCTTTGAGCCAGAAGACAGTTATTTTTTTGCAGGCTATCTTAAGCATAGCCTAAACGTGGCCACGCACAAGGTTGCCACCCTAGCAGGGTCAGCAGCGGAATTGGCCCTGAACGAAGCATGCGCCCCATCTTTTGAAACCCTTTGAGCAGCTGCCAACATCCCCACCCCCTTGAACATGGAGCTGGAGAGAGGAGGTGCACCTAGGGTTATATGATTTAGCCCACTTCTCGAAGTGTTCATCATGGGAACCTGGTTTTGTTTTCTGTTGAGACAACGGCCAAACAACCCCGACGCCCTCAGAAAGCCGTTTTCTGGTTTAGCGTTCGGAGATCGACGCCGAACAAGCCTGATATCCTCAGAAAGCCGTTTTCTGTTTTTCTGTTTGGAGATCGGAGCCGAACAGCCCTGACAGGAATTCACCATGGTTGAACTACCCCACCAACAACCCCAACAAACCTGAGAGGAATAATTCACCATTGAGCTCGTTTTTTCTTTGACGGCACGGCCGCACGGCCGCGCACGCAGGCACCAGCACAGCATGGCCGCGGAGGTGAAGTCCAACTCTTCCGCGCTGCGCCGGTCCTTGCGCGGCAAGGGAGGCGCCCAAAAAACGGGCGGCGTGCGGCGTGTCATGGCTTTGGTGCATTTTGCTTGAATGTTAGGACTTTAACTTTTTGCCAACTAATGGGTTTTCCATTGCACCACTCAAAGTTAAACTTTTAGCAGGGGAGCAGAAAGCAACCGAGATGATGGGGGAGTCTTCCGAAAATGGGGCCGGTCTTGGGAATCCCTTCGCGGTGGAGCTTTTTTTTGGGGAAAGAGGGCTGTAGCCCAAGAAATCCTGTGACCGGCGCTGCAACCTTAAGAGGGTGCAAAAACCTATGCAAAGAGGGCTGTAACCCCAAGAGGGCACAAAAACCTGAAGAATATTTCACAGTGCTGTTGGAGTCTGATTGAGGCTGCACAAAGTCTCAGCGTAACTGGCGGCGCGAGGGCTGATGTTCAGGGAGCAAATGAGCTCAAGTTGCATGCCCAGCTTTAACCAACTAAACTTTGGCAGCCGGGCTTCGGTGGGGGCTGTTGATACCTGATGGGGGGCATCCTGTTTTTAGAGGGTCATTATTTTGTTGGAAGCACCCTTTTCAAATCGCCTGGTAAGTCCTGTTAAAGCAGGTCTCCTTCCGCTTTGGGGTATTCGCTAATTGTTTTCTGACCCACTGTTTAGCACCCAACAACTGTTGTGTGCTTGCTGGTCCTTGGATGCGGCACATGTAATTCTATGCCGGCGTCTCCCCATTTCCAAAAAAAAGAAAAGCATTGAATACCTCGTACCTGGTTCCCGGAGTAGAATTGAATACCTTAAGATCGTACTCCAGCCCAAATCGCGACAGCCATGGAGTCTGTCTGGCTGGATGTTGTTTTTGGAATTCACCAGAACCTAAGCATCTCCCGGACATTCTCCGGGAAATCAGCCAAAAACCCACACTCATCAACAGAACTGTTGGGCGATTCTTCCTTCTCGAAGCTGGATAAGGTTTCTTAGATATATATTTTTGTTTTGTTTTTGCGAGCTCACCTGAAATTACAACGAGCTAAAGGTCCTTGACTTGGGGATCCGATTCTTAACTCAGCTTTTGTGGAATGAGAGTAAAACAGAAACAGGCAGATGTTGTAGCCCATGTGTTTTTTTGGTTTTAAGACAACACATAGGACCTCCAATTGCAGATAGATCCCGGTTCCTAAGGAAATATAGGTAACAAATGCAGATAGATCCAGCGGAAATCCTCTTTAAAGCAGAGAATTGCAGATAGATGTGCAGATGTGTGCCTGTGGACTCCTCTGAAAAATGTGCAGAATTGGCCCCCGGGCGCCGTCCCCTCCAAAAAAACAACACGGCCCACGAGCGCGAGCGAGCTGGCGAGCGGCGAGGCCCCGCGCTGGCCAAGATCACCAAGCTGGTGGACTCCATGGTCACGGCGCCGAGCTGAGAGGACGGATCCAGCCCTGTCTCCGGCGGTTTTCGTTTTGGTGTCCTCCATAGGCTGCGTCTCTGTGTGTGTGCCTCTGTGGGTGTGTTTTTGGGTGTGCCTTGCTGGGTGTTTTTTGGGGTGTTTTTGGGAGTTGTTGGGGTGTTTTCGGGTGTGTTTTTGGGAGTGTTTTTGGAGTCGTGTCCCTTGTCAACTCGTGGGACACCAGGAGAGAAGTTTTTTAGTTTCTTTTTTGGCGTCGTGCTTTATTTTTGACACGTACTCGGCTTGGTTCTTTCCAACAACCCCGATGATGTTCCGTGCGGGTCAATATGGAACCATTCCGGCCCCTAGTTCCTGCTAGGGGTCCCACATCCATGGAGGGACCCCTTTAGATATGGGTTTCTCGTGGTTATGAGGTCCTCTTGTTAACAGACAGACCCTTATCAGAGAAACTAAGAGCCAGCTACCTGGTCTGAAAGCCTTACGGGATGAGCCTGCAAAGACTCAAGACTTGAATGATTTTTGCCAGCTGATTTGTCCGAAAGTATACAAAACGAGAAAGTTACTGCATAAAGGCATATGCCATGGGTGTATGCCCCATGTTTGCCCTGGGCTTGTGGTTTGGTATTAGCGACCATCTTATTGCCAGGGGCTGTTTTTTGCCGCCCGGGCCAGCCGCCAAGCTCAAATCGCTCGGGGGATCGTTGCTCAGGTGCTGGAGAAAGACCAGGAGGACGACGACCTCAAGATCCAGATGTGCAAGGACCAAGTTTCTGCGACTCATCCGATCCATCCATCCCACCCCCTTTTCCCGGCACCCCCTAACATCCCCCCAACATCCCCCTGATTTCAAGTAGAACCCTCGGCTCTCATTGGGACTGGCTCTTTGCATCTCTTTGCTGTAGTAGGCGCTCTTTGCTGTAGGCAACCAGTGAACACCATGATGTAAGACCTAATGCATGGTCACCTTCAATGGCGTTTCAAGCCGCTTCCCGGGAAGCGCCGGGTACCCCAGATGGCCCAAGAGGCCCAAGTTTGCAAACAACTCGGTGCAGGACGAGTTGGCCAGCTCACAAGACGCTCAAACCGCCCTCAGCGAGAAGGAGCAAGGCAAGGCCGCGGACATCGCGTCGCCCCTGGGCTTTCAGGGGGATTTTTAGTTGGGTGGCCGACTTGACCTTTTCGTTTTTTCTTTTTGATCTATATGTAGTTGTTTTGTACCAACAGGTGATCACCTTTCATTTCCAGGTCCAGTCGAGTCAAGAACCAAGTGAGGTTTTGGGAAGGCGAGAAAGCACAAGTTAGATTGTTAGGGCATTCCCTTGGCTGGCCCGTCAAGTTTTGCCCGACATTTTTTGTGGGCGAAAATCTGGCCATGCACATGGGAGCTAAGTGGCCAGAGACCTGAGGCCCACTCCCCAACATCACTGCAGGGTGAATATTTGGTCACGTTTCACGTTGTTGCAGGAAAGATGGACAATCCTAAGGTTGAAGATCAAGAGCATTTGCTTCGGCAAGTCTAGTATAGGCCGACTTGCTTTCTGTATAGTAGGTGTTTAAAGCCTAATTCGCAGCCCTATGCTGCAAAGTGGGTCATGGGTACATTCCTACAGGATTGTAGCAAACTCCATGGAGGCTTCTTTTGTGGGGGATCCCTTTCTAGTTGAGCAGTGGTCATTTTTGGTCATGGAGCCGACGTTCCACCACCAATCACACCCAACATTCCTCCGCCTTGCCATGCAACCCAGAGAAATGGCCTCGTCAGGGGCATAGTTCGAAGCAGAACCCAGTCAGCTTCCATCTTGGATAAGATTGTAGCCCAAACCCCAAGCCTTATCCAGAAAATCAACCAAAGCCTAAAATGTCCAACCAGCGGATCTCAGCTACCTACATAGTTGGTAACCCTTCGCCATGCTCCTTTTCTCAGTTGCCCAAAGCGAATCGACCTGATCTGACCTTAAACGGTTTTCCTGTTTGGGGTTCCCATTTCTAGTGGACCAAAAGGTGATCACCTTTTTATTTCTGGTTCCACTCCCTCTCTTGACTGCTGGTGGGTTGGATCTTTAGACTTTGTAACTGTTTGGTTGGAATCAAGTTGGGGTTTCCACTAACCCCCCCAAAAAGTTATTCACTTTTTGCAGGGGGGTCGTTGCAGCAACCAAGCACCCAACCTCTCCCTTCCTGCTTAGCTAGGTAAATAGATCCCACATGAATCTAAACCTGATATAAACTAAAAACGAACCTGGGGATTCCCTGAAAAGACAAACCAACTCGGGAACTTCCACGAAACCGATCTCTGGTGCATTTTGCCAAGGGATGTTAGGACTGAACAACTTGTTGATCCAACTTTTAGGGATTTTCCGTATTAAACCACTAAAAGTTAGTCACTTTTCGCAGGGCTTCGCAGGTTTCGCCACCGAGAAATCCGATGGTTCCGCTCCAGCCCTCTCTCGGCTCCTTTGAGCTCCGGATCCCCGAGGCTCAGCGAGCAGCTGGAGAACTTGGAGCGGGACGTGGCGGCGGAGAAGCCGCTCGAAAAGCGAGCGGTCGGACGGGATAGCGGGAGGGGAACGAAGGCGGAAGGCAAGGGACTTAGGTCCGTGGGTATGTTTGATTTTGTTTTTAAGGAAGGTGGTTGGTATGTGTTTCTTGGTATGGTAGTTTTTTTTGAGGTTGTAAGTTGTTGGTAGTTTATTGTTGGAATGTGTTGTGTTATGTTGCCTTTTCGAAGGTTGTAAGTTGTTGGTACCTTCTTGTTGGTATGTTGGTATGTTGCTTCCTTCTGGGGAAAGCTGCGTAAGATATTGGGCCCATGTCCGCGGCTTCAAGCGTTCTTCTTTTTTTTGGAGGAGCCCCACTCAAATCCAAGCTGCCTCTCTATTTAGTCACCTTCGGGCTTATGGATTTTTTTGCCCCCAGGCATCTCACAGATTTTCCACTTGGGAAATCAGCGCTTGTTTTGGCTTAGGTCCAGAAAAAGTTCGACCACGTTTTCCCCCGCCAAAACCCGTGAACCGGACCCTGGGCCCAGTGAAGCGCTCCGAGGAAGGCCATCTCGCGGGTGGATTGGGTGGTCGCCACGGCCAGCACCTTGCGGGAGAAGGAGCACAAGCATCTGGCCACCTCCATCGCCCAAGGCGGGCCCTTTCTCGGGACAAGCCCACGGAAAGTGGCTCAAGCCGGGGCCCGCGAGGCGGATTGGCCACCGGGGGAGAAACCGATTTGCCCTAGATATGTTTCCCTTTTTTTTTGGTGGCTTTTTCTTTTGCAACCGGGGGAGGCCGGTGCCCTACAGATTTTTCCCCATGGTTTGCCCCCTTTTTGGTACATTTTGGCCCGGCCTCGCCATATATATATATATATATATGGGAAACATATATATATATATACATAAATATTTCCCCTTTGGTGGTTTTTTTGGCATCACCCTTTTCGCCCACATATGAGTTTCCCTCGGTAGGGGTCGCCATCCGCGAGCGGATGAAGGGGGCTCCTATGTTTCCTCTTTTTGGCGGTCTTTTTGACATCGCCCTTTTTGCCTACTTATGAGTTTCCCTTGGTAGGGGTGATGTTTTGATGGGAAGTATAGGGAGCCCTGTGCAAGCGATGCTTGCCCATGTTACCACGGGATTGGCAATGGTTCAGTTGGCAACGCAGACTTAAACGGAATGACTCACTAAGCGAATCGACCGGATCTTGCCTTTTGGCTTCTCTGATTTGGCTTGGCCATTTGGTCTTTGGGTTCCTAGAGGTGATTATGTTTCCAAAGCTCCGCCCAGCCAAGATGCTCAGGAAGCCTCTGACGACTTGTTTTTTGTCCGAGGTTCCCGAAGGTGCACTTGAAGTTTCCCGGAGCCCCAGCGACAAAAAAGGTTCTCCCTTTTCTGACGGCTATCGGAAAGGCAGTCATTGGACATTTGCCTTGTGCGCGGTCGCTGGGTTCCGCCCCCTCTTCCGCTTTCCAGAGAGCTTGGCGAATCGGAGGAATGTCCTTTGGGACAAGTCAAGTCAGGGTTTCCTCCATTTCCCTTTGGAGCCTGCAAACGTGACAGTTTCAATGGAAACCACCAGTAAGTTGCTGAGGGGGAAATCCAATGACCGTGCAAGTAGATGGACTTGAGACTTTGCGAGACATTGGAACTGGTGGGTGGAGAAGAGAACAGGTTGGCCACTTCTTTTGACTAGGTACCCTTCAAAAGTCGAGAGAGGATGTCATGTGCTTGTTTTGCAGATACCCTTTTCGGCGTTGAGTTGAAGAGAAGACAACCATTTGGGAGGTTGCCCACTGCTCCCCAGGTGCTGCTGCAGTGGATGCGGCTTGGCTCTCCGATGCGAGCAAAACAGAGATGCCTCCTGGGACCGACCGTCGCTTTTTCAACAGAAAACCGCCGGGAGAAAAGCAAAAAGAGTTGGCGGATGAGCCTTCCCTAGTTGGGAAGCGCCTCCTTTTGTAAAGCACGTGTTGCGGCTCGTTTTTTTAACGCGGGGGGAAGTTCAACCTAAACCAGCCCTACACCCACCATAATCTAACCCAAAACGGCAAACCTACCCGAAACCACCCGAACCAACCCTGAGCCCGCCTGAGCGAACCCACAAAACGACCATGAGCCCACCCTGCGTTCAGTGCATGTGTTCGAACATGAGCCACAACCGGTGTTCGAGATTGATCCCCCTTCCCTATGAGTCGGCAAGCCACAATCTTACTGGCAATATAAGGGCTAAATAAGTACTACCCCAAGTGTCCTGATGGAATTTGGGGCCTCAGATTCTGCAACTTGGGGTGTGGCACGGGGATTCCCCGTCTGCAAAGCCCCGTGCTTGTCTTTCAACCTTGGCGGTTTTCACAGAGCTTGCCCTGCAATGTGCATGAGACCGCGAGATTGTTTGAGTCAACGTCCCAGACCAACCTGTTGTTTCAAGGTCCTCTGGGCAGAGCTTGGTTGCATATTTGGTTTCAACAGCAATTGGATACCGGACGTGGGGAGTTGCAACATGAGCGAGCTGTTGGCTTTTGATGTTCGATACCTGGTCCCAAAGGGTGGGGATCAAGGGATCGATTTGGGTATGGCTTGATTCTTAAACCACGTGGCCGACCGTTGGCAACCATCATTTTTTTGGGGTTGCCAACAGTTTTGACCACCAGAGGCTCCTGAACCTTCCAATGCACCCAGATCCTCCATTGGACATAGAGGGGCGTTGGGGCATTTGGGGTCTCAAAACCTGGCTGTCGGGCCAAAACAAAGAAACAAATTGGAGCGTCTGGGCACAAAGGTGCTGCACAAAGCCACGAACTCGCTGGAGAAGTATCTCCAGGAGGCCTTCTCAACGCCACTGGGAGGGCCTCGGAACAGCGAAGCAACCCTCAGTTGCTCAAAGCCGACCTTTTGACCTTTTGGTTTTCCCTTTCTGGTCTATTTTTAGTAGAGGTCCCAAAAGGTTAACCTTTTATTTGCAGGTCCTTTGGGTAAGTGAGAACCCAAGATGGCAAGATTTGTAGGTGAACTATGGTGGCGGTATGGCCTTGTGAAGGGGACTTCCTTGGAGTCCAATTCAAAGAATGGCAGCCCAAGATGAGATCTTCAGGTGAGCTATGGTGGTCGTATGGTTTCCTCGAAGGGGAACCCGCTTGACACCGATGTTTGACATTCGGACTGGCGGCAGCCTTGCAACCCATGTTTTACGGGCGTGTCAGTGGATAGACGTGACTTCCCCCCTCTTCTCCTTTTTGAGGCAGGGCTTTCCTTTAGAATCAGACGGCGGCTTTCTCCATCGGCTTCTGAGCCCACAACCCGAGCTCGACTTTTCAAGCGACGGATTCCGCCGACGCGTCCGACTCTCGCGAGTCGCCAGGGCGGCGTCTTGCTGCAGACCGACAGATCGGATGATGAGGATCCCAGCATCCGCAGAGAAATGCGTACTCCCCGCTCCAGAAAGCAAGCCTGTTTGCAGTTGAACCTCCTTTTGATTTTTGCACCCGTACCTTTCTATCCCCCCCAAACGGCTTCCTTCCGTTGATTTGCGTGATGTGTTTGGATTTTCAGGGTTGCTCCTTATCCCAACTTTCGCTATTAAGGGCTTAAGAGCAGGGTTTGTGGGATCAAGGGGTTTATTCCCACTTCTGAGGGAATCTCCCCCTGTATATGGGGTGTTACTCTTTGGGAATCCCTTTTTGTTGTATCACAGAAGTGGTCATTTCCCACAACCCTGCTTAAGATCAAATGTCGTTTTTCCTTTCCCGTCCCCTCCCCCGCACATGACTTTCTACTCCGCCTTCAAGTTGGGGCTACCCCAACGCCTTATTTGCTGAGCAATAAGCAGTGCTTTGGAGTCAATCTGAGTCAGGAGCTTTGTAAACCGGGCACTGCTTGAAGGCCCGCTCCAAGTACCAGCTTCACGGAGACAATCTGGCCTTGCCGACGTAGACTTGGGGCCTTGTCAAAGCCTCCCCAAACCCTCTTGCCTACTTCCATTGGTGAAAGAGGGTAGGAGGGAGCTGAGCTGTTTCGAAAGGTTTGGAAGCTTAGGTTTAGGCTTTAGGCTTAGGGTTTAGGTTACGCTCGTGTCAACTGAAACCTGCCTGAGGGGACTATTTGCCTTTTCAAAAGGAGGTTCCTCTAAGCATGGCTGTTGTTTGGCGTTCGTTGTGCTTCCTTATTTGTGTGGAGTGTCTTGTCTTGATGGCATTTTGCTAACAGATCGTTGGGCTTTAATTGTTTGCTTGAAACAGGTCGGATTTTCCATAGGAGGGGCCCTTCCAGCAACCAAGTCTTGCGGCAAGCCAGTGAAGCCAGGAGAAGTGGAGGCTGGATCTTAGCGCCAACCAAGTGCTTACCTTCCGTTTGCTTTGTCTTCCCTTGTCGGTTTTAAAGTTGGAATCTATCACTACCTCAAGTAGCGAGCCACCTATCTGAGCGGTGCCACCCCTAAGGGCCGTCGATTGATTTTGGGGCCTCAAAATGGGTTGGTTTTGAGGGCCCATGATGGGTCGGGTTTTTTTATTGGAGAGTCCGGGGTTTGCGGTTTGTGGAGCGGTCATGACCCTTAGGGAATTACAGGGAAGCAAGTAGAAGGTTCCCTCCGCAGGAGTTCGGCTTCCTCACCGAGAGCGCCAAGGGCAGTGACGCCTCCGTGGCCCTGCGGGCACTGGAGGCAGTGAAGGCAGCGGTGAGGTCGGAGGTGGATCAAGTGAAGCTTCGCACCTCGGACACGAGGTTGGACGGGTGTGAAAAAGGTGGTCGTTGAGGGTGTAATTGGGTAATGGGTATGTGGGGGCATGTGGGGCATGTGGGGGGTGTTGGGGGGGATGTGGGTGATGTGGGGTGTGTGGTCCCCTTACTCCCGTCCTTTTGCTGGTGGTTCCCGGCCTTTGACTTTTGTTGATTTGTTAGTTGGTTTAGTGGTCGGGGATCTGGAGACAGCCCTGTTTGGGTTTACCCAACAACTCCCCTTCAGTGTAACATACCCAAAAAACACGGAGCCATTTCAAGAGGAGTCTCCTCTTGGTGGACGGTGGACCCCTGTTTTGAGTTGATGGGAACCCCGGGTCTAAGTAAAACCCCTGGTTGTTTGTGATTGGAGGGTGTCCACTGTTTGGTGATTCAGACCACTTTTTAAAGATTTCGATCGGGTTTCTGGGGTCGACAAATTTGTTCTATCCAAGAATGGGCCCAGACACTCAAACAGCCGCAGGTTTTGAAGGTTCAGCCCGGCACGGCTGGGCTTTGAACCCGCCCGACTTGGGTGGTGCGGTTAGGTCTTTAATGTCCGAACAACTAACCGTTACTTCATACTATTTCATACTATTGCTTAGAAGAAACTTAAATATAACCTTTTGATAAGTCACTGGATTTTCTCTTTAAAAGTTGTACTTTCTTGGTGGTTCTCAAAGTGAAACTGCCACTTTCGCAGGTTCCAAAAGAAAACAAGGAGCTGAGGAAACCCTTTTGGAACATGACACCAGTTTCCAGCCCGTTCGCACCAGAGGAAGGTTTCTTGTGTTGGGGGTCTCTTGCAGAAAAGGTTTGTGAATGTCAGCAATGTACCCTCCATAGATTTTGTACTTTTTCCTGGGGTCTTAACCAAATGAAGGTATCGGGAAGTCCAAAGCTGCAGCTTAGGAACCTGCAAGCAAACCCAATGACCGCTGTAGCACACACACACACACACACACACACACACACACACACACACACACGCGCAACTCACTTCCCGCGTTCCTGGAGCTTTAACTTTTTGGCCTTGGACCATTTTGGCCGACAAAAAGTTCAGACTTTTTACGGACCTTCAGCCTTGCTTGGTGTGCAACACCGGTCGGTCAGTCGCATCTTTTTTTTTTTGTTGGGGTTCCTCGCCAGCCATGGATTCAGCCCCAAAAACAAAGGGTATGTGACTGAATCGTCCAGACACTCAACGCACGTACACTTGCTCTGAAATCAAGCGTACCGAGGCCCAACAAGTGACGGGAATGTTCTTATTTTTCCAGTGCCCCCGCGCCTTTTGGTTGATAGGCAATGGGAAACCAAAGGGAAACCAAGCATTTTTAGGGACGACTTTTTAAGAAACCCTGGGCTGACACGCCTCAAGGTGAGACAGCTGACCAAGCAGCCTACGTCGCCCTGCTGGGGGTGCTTTTGACTGCAGTGGCCAGATGGGAACGTCCAACAGGGCAAGAGGACCACAAAGTTGGGGAGGTCACTTTGATGGACTCAGTCACATAGTGTCATATAGTGGTCCTACCCTTGGGAGGGTAGAAAGCTTATCAACGATAGCAACATGTCAAAGATCCCCACCAAGTTCCCCTTAGAATGGTTGATGGGAGTGAATTTGTCTTCGACCCCTGGATCTTTGGTAGGAAAGGCTCGCAAAAGAACAAACACCTGCATGACCCTAAACCCCCCCACCCTCACCCGTTTTATGGGAGGTCCACCCGAACCAAGTTCGGTTCCCAAGAAAGAAGGACCCAGATTCCAACCTCACTTCCGGTGTTCACGCTTCCAGCCTCCTATTGCACGGTTCCACCCTCATTTCACGATTCCGGCCTTGTATTTCACGGCTCCGCGCGTGGAGCCACCGGCCGAGTACCAAAAGCACTAGGGAAGAGGAAAGTCCTACCACGCGCCCAATTGCAAGGGTTTAAACTCAACCTGAGGCGTCACCCAGCCAAAAAAAGAAAAAAAGAAAAGAAAAGAAGAGCACATCCGAATAGATGTCCCACATTCCCTCCTTGGTAGCTGGTTGCACCCGGTCTCCGGGCCGCCTGGAGATCTGGTTGGGGACATTGTGCCACTTCCCTCTACTGCTATTGGGCTGGATCTTTGGACTTCAGCTTTTTGGATTTCCCCCCTCATATTTCCAATAAAACCAGCAAGAAGTGAGAAAAACTGTTTGCTCGGGGATCCCGCCAGCACCTTCTCGTTCCGAGGGAAGTTGCAGCTTCTCAACTTTTGGACTGAGGTGGCACGGAGCTCGAGAAGAAAGGATGCATACACCCTCACAGACTTTGTGGGAGGCGCGAATGCGAAATTCGAAATGGCCAGCTTACAGCGAAGACTTATACGCAAGGACTCTTTGTGCCTGTGTGCCCCTGCCTCCAAAGGTCTCCTCCAAAGGTCCGACTAATAAAAAAGACGCACAAAAAGGCCAGACAAAGCTACATGGGATTTAGCTAATAGGGAGGTATGGCTGCTGGTATGGCTTCCGGGGTACAACCTCCGGTCGGCATGTGGGGTACATGCCGAGTCGACCTGCAAGGTGTTTTTGGTCGACTCGACGCGGAGTTGTGGAAGGCCTGAATCCATGTCCACGTCCTGAAAAACAAACAAAGGGGTTGCACCAAAAATGCAGCTGACTTGCAGGCCGAAGTTTGTTCACCTTCCCCAATTTGCAGCCTTCTTGTGGCGGTTGGTTTCCAAGGTATTGCTCCTCAGCAGCAACATGGTGGCCCATGTTGTGACTTTCCATTTCTAGGAGGTCAGCGTCAGCAACTGGAATGGTTGTTTCCCTTTGCCCTCCCATCCACTCCATCCACATGGAACCTGATCGAGGCCTCTAGAGGCCGGTTCCATGGCAAAAAATGTGTTTCCCCAGGCCAGGTCTTTGGAGATCCCCACCTGAAACATGGAATTGGGGGAGGGGGGTGATGGAAATCCATTTGTAGTTCCAATTTGCGGATCTAAGAACGTGATTTCCTGAAGCGACCTCTAAAACTGGACAATTAATTTCCTCATGCAGGTCAAAAAAAGCGGCACCCCAGCCCTAAAGCAAAAAACAACACGGGCAACCTCCCTGGGGCGGGAAAAAATGTCCAGCAGCCGCTCGGCGAACGAGTTCGTTCGAGCGCGAGCGCTCAGGGCAAGCCGCCCTGGCCGCAGAGGCGCAGAGGATTCTCAACCGCCAGAAGGCCCGGAGGAGTTTGGATTTCTCGGGTTTGCTCGTGGGAGAAAGGCGTGGCCTGGAGTGGAGGATTTTTGTCGGGTTTGATCATGGGAGAATCTCAGCGTCTGTCGGTTTCTCGTGGGAGGATCTCGGCGTCAGGTTCGAGTTTTCTTTCCTGGAGTTCGGCCAATGGGTAAGTAGGTTATGAGGGTAGCTGGGGTAACTGGCCCTGTTTCTCGTGGGGGGCATCTTTTCGCGTCACCCTGGGGTTCCAGACGCCGATTCCCATGAAAAGAATGGCCTTGGGACATAGTAGGTGTCTTTTTTGTTGTGTTGTGTTGGTAGAAAGTTAGGTGGCGATTCCTGGTTTACCTGGTGGTTCAATCATACACCAGGCAAACCCATCTATTTCCCCTCAAAAGGGACACCTATGGGCAAGGACCAAATTTGGGAGGATGAGAATTTGGTTGAGAATGCCGGTTGTATCAACCACCACTGTTTCAATGCTGGCTTGAACCCCACAAATCACGCTACCCCCAAATGGGCAAGCAGGTGGTGGGGGTAACTGGCCCGTATAACCCACTTGCTAAGTAGCATGGCTTGTCACTGGGGAGTTTCGAGCTGGTGGTTGGAAGAGAGCTGCTACGGAGCCTGGAGGTAGCGATCGGAGTTCTGCAAGGATCCTTGGTGCTTTGGATCGGTGGTTGGGTTTGGATTTGAACCCCTGGTTCTTGGACGGAACCCAAACCAACCCCCCCCCCCACAACGGCACCACTCCCCCACCCGATTTTTTGGACGCGCCTTGCTCTTTTTTTTCTTGCTCCAGGCGCTCAAGGAGCAGATGGGCCTCACCGATCAGCTGGTGAGCACCCTGAAGGAGGCGCGGGACCCGAGACCGGTCTGGGGCGGTTTTCACGAAATTGGGTGGCTTGGTGACGCGACTCGTGAACGAGTTGCCGGGGTATTTGTTTGGTCGGCTTTTTTTTTTGGGGGGGGGGGGGTGGTGTTAGTTGGGCTTTTTATCTTTCAGTTGGTCGGTTGGTGGTTTGGATGGGTTCGGAACCCTTAGTTGGCTTTGATTGGTGGAAACTGCGGATTTGACTGGTTCGTGTAGAGGGCGAATGGGAAACCATCTCCAAACGACACATTAGGTGGCAGAAAAGAATTTATGAGTTCGTCTCACTCCCTGAGTTCCTGGACCTATCACATGTTAGCAAGGCCAGTTTAGTGTTTCTTCGGCGCAGTGCTTCCAGCTACCACAGCCACCAACCAGCCCAGGTCACCCAGCAATTGGTGCCCTTGTCTACCGACTTTTTTGGTTGGGAGGCTTCCCCTACTAGAATAGACTACAGAAAAAAGTGTGAACCCTTATGGAGGACCTAGCCAGCGGTCCCTGAAAAAAAGAAAAGCGATTGGTGGATTGGTGGTCCAGTGCTGCCACCACAGCCACCAGGTAACCAGCCGCGAAAGAAAAGAATTCGGCACACCTATGGACCTGCACTTCGAGCCAGGAGTGCGACAAGCTGATGGCCAACTACGAGGCCCAGAAGCTGGCGAGGCGCCAGGAGATCGAAGCCCTGCACGCCAAGAAGAAGGCCTTAGCATCTCAGCTGGCTGACGACCCTGCCCTTTTTCATCAGAAAAAAGACGTGCGGTTTCTTCACTGGATCTTAGTTCATCTGAAGAAAAAAAAACAAGTTGTCTTTTTGTTCTGTTTGTTTTCTTCTTCGACTGTTTTTTTCATGAGACAAAACACACGGGTTCTCTTTGTGCCATGTTGTTGTTTGTTTGGGCCATTGGGGGGTGACATGGTCATGTTGTGCTGGGCACGTTTCAAGTTGCAGAGGGGAGGGGGGGGTGAAAAGTCATTGGCCTACAGGGAATGGGTGAACATGTCACCGGTGAGTCAAACAACCCAGAGCCTGCAACGGGGGCCCTTCGCCACGAGCGTTCCCATACGCTTTGTTTTTGTTTGAGGACAACCCGTTTTTTGGCGGCTTTAAAGGGACACCAACAGGACAACCGCATTTTTTTGGGGTCCAAGTACGGTCCAAATCCAAAAAAAGAGACAAATTCCTATTTGATCGAATGGAACCAAGCCCCGCCCGTTTTTTTCTTCTTTTTCTTTTTTTTCTCCGGGAGCGGGGTGAGGGTCCGTTCACTCACAGCTCAGGAAGCTTCCCTTGCGGCAGCCTCAGCGAACGAGCGGAGAAGTCCTCGCCGTATTGACCCGCCCCAGCTCCTTCAAGTCGGGAAGGGGGGTAGCTCCGCAAGAAGCGCGTGAGATTCGATTGACCCCATTTGCTGGGTTCATTGTGTTGGCCGTTTCTGGGGGTCATCAAAGTCAGAAACTCGGGTGGTTTCCTTTTAACCTACCACTTGGGGGTTGACTTTGACAATTGTAAAATAGTGGGCCAGTTCTGTATATAGAAAAAGCAAACACCCCCGTGTGGTAGGCAGGATTCACATTCCCAACCGGAACATACGTTAGTGTTTGTGTTTGATGTGTTTTGTGCTTGTTCTCTCCTACTGAGTTTGAATATAATATGAGGTGGCACAAGGAGAGAGCGCACTTTGCGGGAAGCAGCAGGCTGTTTGGGAATGCCCGGTGGGCTTGTCATGGCTGGGGTGCGGAAATCGGCGCAACACGTACTCCGACCTGAAAATTCCGCAAGCGGCTGTGGGATGACAATTGTACAAGTCATCGCTTGTTTGATTGCATGTTGCACTCAATGCAAGCCTTGATCCAGCTTGCCTGCGTGTGTTTCCACGTCTGATGTTGGTCGGCTTTGCGTTGTAAAGCAGTTGCTTGTGGAATCCCTTAGGGAGGTAGGGATGAGCCTTTGCTTAGGGTTGGTTTCTCAGGGAGCCTTTGGGAACCCTCTCCCGACCATCCCCCCGAATGGGATTCCCTAAGTTGTAGAATGCGACAGTTTCCTCCCCAGGCTTGTTTCCATCCGCCTGGGCGTCCCCATGCCCCAATCATACCTCGCGTTTGTCTCGCCGAAGGAAGGGACGCCTTTGCTTTGGCAACCATTGGCAGATCCCCGGCCCCCTTCTGAATGGCTCTTTCTCATCTCAATGCTGCAACCTCTCTCCAAACGCCAATTCTCAGGCTGTCAATCTCAAGGCATCCATGTAGGTAACATTTATACCGACATTTGACCCCTTTGGAGGGTAAATGTGGGTACCCTTTCCCCGAAACTAGCATTTGTGGGAGGATACTGGAAGAGCAATTTCCTCTTCAAGGGACCCGCTAGTCTCTTTCCAGACATCCTTCTTTCTAGAAGACCGCCAAAATCCCTGGGGAAATGGCTGGTTGTTGAAAAGAACGATGGCTGAGAAGAATGGGGAATCAACCCCTAGAGCTATCAGGTACCATGTTGGTGAGAGGGAGGGTATCATGGATGGTTTCATGCGCAGGGGACCCTTTGCTCAGGCCGGGGTGGACCTGCAGTGATCTGCCCATCCCTGACGCCAGTTACGCCTGCCGCGGGTGCAAAAGCCAAAGGGGCGGCGCTCGAGCCGCGAAACCGGGGCTTGGAGCGGAGCGGTTGAGAGAGGGCTCGAGCCGAAGCTCGCCTCTCAAGATAGGAGAACCCCCAAATGGGTGGTGTCCTTTTCGTTCCCCTTCAACGCCATCCAAAAAAGGGGTACCCCTCAAAGAGAATCAAAAAGACACACACACACACACTTGGCACAGATCAAAGCGAATCGTTGACTTTAAACAGTTCTCCCTCTTTGGCAACTAGCTTGGTGGTTCCAAGCCATCCGGTGCCTTACGCTTTTTTTTTTTTTTTTTTTTTTTTTTTTTTTTTTTCGGGCTTGGTAGTAGTTTCCAGCAGGGGATCTGGGAACAGGCCAGGTAGTACAGGTCCCAAAAGGTGATCGCCGTTGATTTTTTAAGGGGCAAGTGAGTTGGGTTCAATGTCATGCCCATTACATTTGAGGTTTGGGTTAGTCCCCTTAGCATGGTCATAACCCACCCACTAAGAAGTTTGAACACCCAAGCAGATGTCCCTTTTGCTGTTTGAAGCATCACATCTAGGCATCTCATGTCATTTTGTTGCTGTGTCGGGGGCATGCTCCAACATGGGAATCCACGGCCACCCCTTGGGTTTGTAAGGGAAGGAATCACTCTAAGGCTCATGACCTCTCCAATGCAGAGCCCCGGACCGTTGAATGTAGAACCCCGACCCCTCATGGGCCCTCAAAAACAGCGCCATTTTGAGGCCCCCAAAATCAGTCGGGACGCTGAGGGCAGTTGGGAAAATCGGATTCGGCTTCATCCGTCTGGCGCCGGGATTCTGCGCCAACACACCCGACCCTTCGCATCGCATGGCATGAAGCATGGCGGACCGCCAGTGGCTTGGGATCCACACCGCCCCGCACTCCCAGCAAACACAGACAATCCATGTAATAGCTACATATATATTTATATCGTGTGTACATATATATATATATACACATATACCATGCACACATCTATATATATATATATAGAAACTGACCATGTATCACCTGTGCTTTTTTTAGGTCGGTTCAAAGGGAGAGGCGGAAAACCATCAGTTTTTGAGCCCCTACTGTGGATGGACGAAATCCTGCACCACCTAAGAAGCCGTGGAATGATTCGATTCCCTGGTAAATACCGACAAAAAGTGGTTTCAACCATATGGATTCATTTCGTGGTGAAATCGGTCTCGGATTTCGCAACCCTCCACCGTGATTTGACCCATCCCCCGTTGGATCTCGGAACGCGCCCTCGGACTTCATGTTGCTGGCTCGCAGGTGGAGCTCCTGAGTGGACGTTTGCACCAGATCAGGGCCAAGGGCCTCAATGAGATCGGATTTTCCATGTGCTTATAAGATTTTGTGTTGTCTTCCCCTGGTTTGAAAAAGGGAACCTGTGAATTTATTCTGCTTTTTGTAAATAAAAAGGGACCTGTGAATTACTACTGGGATGTGTTTGGTTTTTTCCCCAGGGAACTTAAGCAAATTGGAGGTAATGAATCTGCACACTTTTTTGGTTTCATTTAAGCTCACTTGAGGGTAAAGCGGGCGATTTGCCACGATATAGGTTCTTGACTTGGGGTCCCTTGGCGCAGGTTTTGGACTCTTGGCTGGTGTGGGGAGGGGTCCCAGCTCCTTCACCTCACATCCCTTTGGTGACGTGGATGCCCCTTCCGTAAAGCAACCATACGAGTCACAGAAATTATACTGCTATGGGTTGGATCTTTAGGCTTCAACTTCTTGGGAAATCATGGGGTTTTCCACTAAACCCACAGGAAGTTAAACCTGTTGCAGAGGGGTCAGCAGCAACCAAGATTAGATGAAACAACTAGGGGTTGCTTGTTCCCTGACTTGCAAGAAAGAACAGGGGCATCCACCTTTGCTTGGTTCGATATCGGCTGAGGCCCATCTCAGCAGCGAGGGGTTCCCCTTGGTGGGGGACCCTTTGTACGGGGAGGCCGGGGCTCCCAACCAGTTACCACAGAAGCTCGGCGGCTATTTGCTTGGATCTTGATGTTGATTTTGATTTCCTTCGCTAAGCAACCAACAAGCCGACAACTGTTTTCCAACCAACAAGTGAAAAGCCAACAAGTGCAACACTTGTTTTGCGCCACACAGCTGGGAAACCGGGAGAAGAACCATCAATGACAACACCTAGCCAGCATGGTCCTTGCCCCCGGTTTCCTACCAGAGTGATGCCTTTAACCTGTCGGTGGGGCAACCCTTCGAGCTTCAGCCGGAAAATGGCGTTCCTTGATCTGGGACCCCTGTTGAAAACACTGACTTGCAAGAAGACCTTGTAGGTACTAACGGGGGAAAGGGAGTAAGAGCAGAACCAGTGTCAAGCGATCTTGAAAACAGGCGGGCAATCCACGGGACCTGACTTCGGTTTTTTAGCATGTGGGCAACCATTTTGAGTGTCGGTTCCCCCAACTGGTGATCACTTTTTTTCTTGGTGTCCGTCCGGGTTGCCGAGTATTTTGTCAGAGCGCGCTCCAGCGAATCGACACACCTCAGAACTTTTGGAAACCCGGAAAGGCCTTGGTTTCCAGGTCCTGTAACATACTCCCCTCACTTAGCGGTTGAACAGCGAATCGTCCGGTTCAACTTGGGATTTTAGTTGTTTGTAGTTGCTTTCGTGGTTGGGTTTCCATTTAACACCACGTTTAGCAGTGGATCTGAGGGCAGCCCGGCTCACCTTGAACCTCTTGAATTTTTGCTTTTTTGCGCTGAAACTGGGCTTTGCACATGTTGCATTTCAGATTGGAATGATCATGCTGGCAGTTGGCTTGCAATGAACATTCAAACTTTGAGCGGCAAACAAACTGCAACATTTGGCCAATCCACTCGGAAGGAGCTGTTTGCCGACTTTCCCAGACAATCCATATAGGAAAGATTTGATACATTTGGAATTGGTAAATGTGGGTATATATTTAATATTTTGCATACATGGATTGCTTGGGTTTGAAAGTGCAGAACGCCAGGATTCACAACAGGCTCAGACTTCCAATGAAGTGATCTTGGCATGTTTTGGCCCTTTTGCCAACAACTCCTTGAGAGGCTTGGCGCATCGTGACATCCGAGCGCCGGGCAGGGTGGAACCTCCTGGTGCACCCGCACCTTCCTCCACGCAGCCTTCTTGAGTCCTGCCCTCGAGCAGCGGGACTTGACTCATCCGGCGAATCCCCGGGTTTTTGCGAGTCTCACTTGCCCCTTGGGCGAATCAGCTGGATCTGACCTTAGAACGGTTTGCATGTGTTGGTCAATATGTAGGTTCTTGTTTTCCAGGTTCTTCGGGCAACTGGGCCTAACATAGACAGTTGTCCTTACTAGTTGAAGCATGGCATTGGTGCTTGTGATTTGCCCGGGTTGACAAGCATTAAACCACTGACCATTGCAAGATACAAGCTTGCTAGGTGGATCGGAACAAGGTTACTTACCACTTAGTGAGTACCCTGCCCCTGAAGCATGGCCATTTCTAGGTGATTTTCACTGGAAACGCAGAAGCGCGGCTGCTACACAAGGCCCGGCCCCATTGCAACGACCACAAGTGCAAAGTGGAAACGCGCATGCCGCGTTTGGCTCATAGGCTCAAACCCAATCCAAATCCAACAAGTCAGCCCAGAGAGGCGATATCCACGTCTATTTCTCTATGTTTGCGTGTTGCGTACGAGCCTGTACGTCCTGCCACATTTGCAACTTCAATGTGGTGACTCCTTTCGTCAGTTCCAACAAGCACCACCTGGAAAATCGGCACACGTGTCGCATGTTTTGAAGCAGTGACGAGATCACACATCCCTGAGTTGACGTTCTCCATGCCAGCAGACCCGCTATCCTCGACAGATGCTCACCTCTTTGCGCGCTGTTTTTTGTGGAGCACGTTGGCCATTTTTCCCAGCCAGAGTCGTCCCCTCCCCTCGATTGAAGTCCGGCTCGCGCCTCAGCGCCTCGGTCAAGCAAGCGTCAAGCTCGCAAGAGCCATGGGCTGCTTCGAGTTCTGCTTCAGCTTCACCTCGCCGAAGCCCAAGGCGCGGAGTGTCCGGCGGCCCGTGCTGGATGCGCCGGACGGCAAGCAGCTGCCTTGCCTGGCAGAGGCTGAGGAGGAGACGGAGACGAACCCGTCCGAGACCCATGGTGAAACTTTGCGTTTTTTTTTGTTTTTTTTTTGTGTGGACCCGAGTTTGGTGTTCCCTTTACCTTTAAAAGCACCATCAAGATGTAGCAAAAAAAAAAAGGAAACAAACAAGGAAAAAACATCAAAAAAAACTTTTGGCAGGGGAGGGGGTGATCCTTCCCTTTTGTGCCCTGAAGGCAAAAAAGCCAAGGTCCTGTTGAGCTTAGCCATTGACAGAATGAATCCCAGTGAAGCCCTTCATGCCTCTCACACTTCTTTTTTCGGGGGCTAGTTGACACAGTTTTCCTTTTCATGGAGTTTGGTTCTGGTGTTCTGGTGCGTGGTTTATAGGAGCCACAGAAAACTCGGCAACTCCCATCTGCTCCACTCGTATCGGACTCGGGCCCCTTGAGGGGCCCCAGTCAACCGGCTATGGAAAAGCCAATCTTCAATGTCAAGCAAAAACGGAAACCAAGCGGGGAATGGATATTGTGTGATTTTTTTCCAGAGCTCTCCCCCCCGATTGTTTTGTTTTTTGGGGGGGGGACCCCCCCTTTGTGGCTGGTTTTTTCAAGGATTCCAACAGGAACCCAACTTGTTTGGTGTCCACATGTCTTCATGTTGTGTCCTTCAGGCGGCTTCCCAAGACGGATGTCTGTACTTGCAACCCACAAAACCCAGGGGGCCGCCAACTCAAAAACGATGCGCCGGCCCTTTTGGAGCCACGCCCACAGCTTGGTCGACTTGGTCGACAGGAGGTGCGCCGAAGCCGGGGCGCGTTGGCGCGCCGCAGGGCGCAGGCAGGACATTGCCAGACTTCATTCTAGGTCCCCCATGCTAGGTGCCCGACCTCTCAGCCCTTTTTGGTTGGGAGGGTTCCCCTACTAAAATAGACGTCCGGAAAAAAGTCGGTACCAGCTTATTCTAACCTCTCTGCTAGAGGACCTAGTCATGCCGACCTATGGGGTTGCCCTGGTTTTAGTGGGGGTGCATCACTTTTGGACAGGCTGGGGTGGAAAATCCGGGTGTCAACCCAGGATGGAGGGTTCTCAAAATGGCGGACCCCGTTTTTGGCGTTTTTTTTTTTGCAAAGCCCAAAGGAAACACGCTAGAAAATGGGTCCCTAGTTTGAGAAACATTCGGAGGAAACTCCATGGCCTATTTATTACTATGGGGTTGTCCTTGGTTTTTGTGAGGGTTCACCTTGGGTGGCAAATTCCCCCACTCCCATAGTAATACAGCAGGGCTTCATAAATCCGCGGCCAACATCAGGTGACCTTTGTGACTTTTGGCCTCTTTGGGTTGTGCCCTTTCTCTACCGTCTTTTTTTTGGTTGGGTTGACTAAAGTGTCCTACCCAGTTTTACCGGGTTTGGGGGGGAGTGGACGCCCTCTGATGCAAATCCATTCCACTGCATATGGTAATGAGAAGATGTCAAAGTTACCGTTACGCAGATTTGGCAAAATGTTTCATTGTTGAAGCTTGTTTTGCAAAATGCATGGAACACGATAGGTGGCTCGCAGATACCCTTGCAAAATGCCAAGACTTGGAAAACGACAGGTGGCTCTCCGAACTAGCACAATCACTTTGGCAAAGTAATTTGGACCGCGGGTATACCCATTGAATACACACCTCCCCCAAAAAAACACACACACACATGCAAAACACAAGTGAAGCTCACTTGCCCAAGGGCAACCTTTTAACCTTTTGATTTCCCCGATTTGGTCCATACTTAGTCACGGTTCCAAGCGCTTAACCTTTTCGGTCCTTGGAGCAACTGAGGCTGAGACGATATGCAAGCCCGTATGTAAACTACTAGATCGTCCGGCGCCTTCGGTTTTCATGTCTTTATGTTGGTTTACTTGCTGGTGCTCAGCAGGGAATGAGGGAATGACCCCTATAAACCATCCCTTGTGGCTTCCTTTCAGGGAATCCCTTTGTTCATCCCCTCATTCCCTGCCTATCGCTACCGATCGCAAGTCTAGTGGCCGGCTTTCCGAATTGGAACCCACACGAAGCCACACGTTCTTCACTTTGAGGGGATCAGTTTGGACAGCCCAGCGATTTGAGGTCGGCTTTCGTAGGGGGTTTTATCCATTTGGTCCACCTGGCGGTGTCTTTTTTTTTGGCGGCTGCTGCGGGGAAACCAAAAGGAAAAACTGGCAAACATTTGGGGATCCAACTCCCAAAACATGGTTGCTGTGGGGCAAACATTCTACATTCTTGCTTATTGTGGTTTAAGTGGTTGAACTCCAACCACTGAACTGCTAAAACTTTTTTTTGCTCCCCTTCCAACGTCAACTCCCAGAAAGAAGAAGAAAAAAGCAGCCACGAGCGGAACGAGCGGAAGAGCCTGGAGCGAGCGGAGCGAGCTGAACCGCGCGAGGTGGCCTCGCAGCTCCTGCCGGCGGCGCTGCCCATCGCCTGGGACTTGTTGAAATCCACGGGGCCCACGAAGGCGGTGGAGAACACCAGCCGCCTGCGCAAGGCCCTGGAGGCGGGCCTCGAATGCGTGGCTGGGCGGGCTGGGGGTGGCTGGGGGCGGCTGGGGGCGGCTGGGGTGGCTGGGGCGGGCCTCTGGCGGCTGGGGCGGCTGGGGCGGCAGGCTGCCTAAGAGAGGGCTGGGGGATGATTTTTGCTTGGCAACTGAGCTGGGCAGAGGTCACTTCTTGGGTTTGGGGCTTGGCAAGCTGGCCCTTGAGCCGGCTGTTTCATCTATCTGGGGCCGTCTATTTTCAGCCAAAAGGGCACATGGATTTTTGGGCCAATGCGTGGGGCCAATGACTTCGTTGCCCTTGACGATCATAGGTTTAGGGTTTGTTGACCATGGTTTATCCTTGCGCTGTTTGCTTTGGTCGTTGCTTGCGTGTCCCTGGAAATGAACATGTGGACCCTACAAAAGGAGGTGACAAACATCGTGGAACACCTGGTCGGGGGTTGGGGAGTGCGTCTTGTAAAGGCCCCTCACCCAGAAATGACTCTTAGACCCCCTTGCGAGGGGCAACTGCAATTTAAAGAATTGGCACAAATCCCGGTAGACGTGGGGAAAGGCCATGACTGAACCAAAATGGGTTGGACGTGAATTTGCTATCTTGAAAACCCAACTGGAATCGGTGGAAGTGGACCGTCGGAGGGCTTTGGCAGGCACAAAGCCGAGAAATGAACGGCTATGTTTTGGGTCATGAAAGGGGAAACTCAAAGGGCCCACGAAAAGGTCGATTTGCCTTGCCTGCACATAAACCACTTTATAAATGTATAAACCACAACTCATTCAACCACAAACCACTAGAAATCCCTTTGTATCCCCTCCATTATTATTTTGGTTTGCACCCAAGCCACGTATATAGTTTTGACCCTGGCCATGGTTTTAACCGTCATTTCCTGGCCACGTTTTGTTTTGTCTCCTTTCCTGGCCGTGGATTTGGTTTGGCCCGTCAAACCACTGTAGAAATCAACAAATCAACAACCACATCCTAGTTCAATGGGCTTGCACCAAGTCATTTTGCCCGTGGCCGGTGGTTTTATTCTTTGGCGCTTCATTTCCTGGCCTTTTTTTTGGGGGGTGTTTTTGTCCTTCATTTCGGAAAACATGGTTGCTGTGGCAGGGGGCTGGTTTTTTCCTTTCGGACATTTCCTGGCCTTTTCTTGACTGCTACTGTGTTGGATCTGTAGACTTTAACTTTTTGGTTGACATCAAGTTGGGTTTTCCCCTAAACACCCCCCAAAAAGTGGAACTCGCTTTCTTTTTGCCGGGGGGGTGGTTGCAGCAACCAAGCACCCAACCTCTCCCTTCTTGGTTAGGTAAATAGATCCCACATGAATCTAAACCTGATACAAACTGGGGGACGAACCTGGGGATTCAACCAGGGTTTTTCTTTGGGGGGGGGGGGGACGGGCGGGAGCTGCGGTGCTTCGGTGTTTTTTTCTTTTCGGTTTGCGCCAGGCGCTGGGCCCGGCCTTCGTGAAGCTGGGCCAGGCGGCCAGCTGCCGCGAGGACGGAAGGTGGGACGGACGGCGGGACGGAAGGCCGCGGAAGGCCGGCGGGCGGAGGAGTGAAGGCGAGCCCCGGTGTCGATGATCTCTTACCTCTTAAAAACACAACTTCTCTCCACTTGTTGGGTAACATGGGCTATTTCTCTGTAAAAGATTGACTTTTCCAGGGAAGGGAGTTTTAAGGGGGTAAGGATGGTATACCAACCAAGAGGATAGTTTCGATGCGTAACCCAAAAACAGACGGGTATATCTTTTTGACAACAGATGGGTAACCCTACAAAAACATAGAAAACACATGATGGTGACCCCATATTTTGCCCAAGGGATGTAAGGACTTTAAAACTTTTTGCCAACTAACGGGTTTTCCGAATTGAGCCACTACAAGTGACTTTTTTGGGAAGCAGAAAGCAGCCGAGATTAGATGGTATACATACCAACAAGAAGATACTAGCCCAAAAAAAAGACATACCAACAGAATGATGGCCCCATAATTTAACCATCCCCAGTTTATATGAGTAGGGTGTTTGTGGGGTTGAGTGGGGAATCAAACCGCTTTTGGAGGGGAACAACCTATTGATAAACTGGGGTTGATGAAGATGGGGTCAACATTAGTTGGGGGGGTATCCTGACATTCGCCCTTAAACAATGGGATTTTGGTCGGAGTTCTGCCGGACATTGCCTTTGTTTGTCTTAATTCAACGAGGGAAGCCGAGCCGTTTCCTAGTTTGAGACATAGCCCAACTGGAGGGTTCCCCAAACCTCCCTTGGGGTTTAAGCGCTCGAGGTGCTGCTTGAAGCGGATTTTTCGGATGCGCGGTGTGTGTGTGTGTGTGTGTGCGCGTGTGTGTTTTTTTTTTGGGGGGGGGAGGGGCGGCTTTTAGGTTGGTTCCAAGGGAGACCAACCGAGCACAGGAGTATTGGTGCATTTTATTGTTTATTAGGTCGGTTCAAATGGGAGCTGAAAACAGCAGGCATCTTGACTGCTATTGGGTTGGATCTTTAGACTTTGACTTTTTGGGAAATAAAAGTGTTTTCCTCTAAACCCCCAAAAAGTGAAACTCCAGCAACCAAGGCATGGAGGTCCTCTTTTGTTTTGCCGGCCACGTTAAGCGTTGCGCAACGCCACGTTCCAGGACATCTTGAGCGACGCAGTGGCCGCGGAGCTCCGGAAGCTTTGCGACCAGGCCCCAAGGTTAGGAAGCAGTAAGCCCAGAGACAATTCCCGAGTTCCTTGACTTTACTTCCCCAGAATTAGCTCCCCTTTTTGTTGTTTTGCTTTTTTTTTTGTGGTCCCTTTGTTTTCCACTAACCAGGCAAAACATATTTGTTGCTGGGGTCCTAATTCCAGCCTAGTTTACTTACTTGGGTTTGGTTGCCATTTTAGTCGGAAACAACAAGCTCTTTTAACAAAGGCGTCTTTTATTACCACTAAGACATTTAGCCCCTGAATTTCTTAGTAAAAGAGTTGTTCATCGCCCAAAAATGCTGCTAACAAATTGAGCCCCGAAATTTCTTTGGTCATATCCACTTGGGATTTAAGTTGAGCATGAAATCCGGGAGCCTACAAACCACCCACCCCAGACCCCCTCAAGAGCTAGGGCTTCAGAAGTCGTATTCGGGGGATTTAGGGGGAACTGGCACTCTCAGAGCCTTTGAGCTGCCAAGACTTTTCTTCTGGCGAACAACAGGCCCGAGCTTTTTGACCAATCCACTGAAGCAATATAAGCTAGCTGGTGCTTAGAAGGGATATCCAATTTGCTTTTCCAGGGAGCTGAGCTACCAGGAGTTCTGGTTAGGGACATGATAGTAAGGCCAAGGCCAACCAATGGCTTTGCTTCACCCACCGAATCCGAAGCGGCCCATCAGTCGCCTGCGCGCTTGATTTTTTTCTTCGCAGGTCGCGCCCTTCCCCCAAGAGGACGCACAGTGGCTGGTGACACAGCACCTTGTTTGCGATTCAGCGTTCGTGTCATTTTCCCCGTTGGCTTTTCTCAATTGTGCCAAAGCTAGGTCTCCCAGCAGTGCCCTCTTACCATTTTTAGCAGGGGGAAGGTGCCCCTACCAGAATAGACTACAGAAGAAAAACAAGTTGGTACCCTTCTTCTAACCTCTCTACTGGAGGACCTAGAGTATGTGGCAGCTAGCTCTGCTTGCTTGCTTCCTTCCGTGGGATCACGACCGCAAGGTGCCCTTTGTTCCAGCCACCGGCCGGAGGCCCTTACAAGCCTTTCTGTGTGCGTGCACCTACCTTTCCAGTATTAAATCAACCATTTGTTTGTGGGCCCGGCCCCTTTGTAACACACCCCGGTTTTGGTGTGTGTGTGTGTTTGCTTGGGTACCTCTCGCAATGGGGTTGTTCAAAAGGCAACGCCAAGGACGCCACAGGAGTGCCAAATCATTGGTCTGAGTTTATTGGGCTTCAAAGCACCCGTAGCACCCCATGCGAATGCTTTGGAAATGTGTCTATCCTTTTATCTCACTCGCTGGGGCTGAAAAAACCACCAATTTCCTGTTCAAGCTACCAGGAGTGCTGCAAAAAACGTGATAGCTCTGGTACCCCTCACTTGGCGGTTTGCCTGGGGCCCCAAAAACACGTCCGCCCTAAAAGTGAAGCTGCCGATCGGAGGGGTTTGGAAGTCGAAAGCTTTCCTAGGGGTTTCGCTGGACCCCACCAACAAGGAATTCACCAATTCACCAATTCACCAACATTCTGGAGCAACAAAAAACCTTTCTCAAAGAGTTGTTCAGATTTCCAGGTGGGTCTCTGAAAGAAACTGGCCTCGAGGCAGCTGCAGGGCCGGGCGCCCGCGCTAGGCAGCTGTGTGGCGGCCGCTTCACTGGGCCAGGTGTGGCTCGGCGCCGAGGGAGCGAGCCAGGAAACTGATGGCTGGGCCAGCAAACAACCTGCCTCCATTTGCTTCAGAATAGTTTTCTTTTTTCTTTTTTGTTACATTGTCCCTTGTTTGTGTCAAAAGGAATTCATCACTACTGGAAATATGTTTTTTTTTTTTTTTCTCCTGGGGCCTTGACCAAATGGAAGGCAAGCAACCTGGGCGAAAAATAACGACCTCACACGACCGAATTCACCCCAAATGGTGGTTAAAAAGTGGGGAATGGCCCCCAAACCACCTTTTTTCAGGCTGGTTAAATATTGTAAATTCACCCAGCGCAACACGCACAAGGCTTGGGGCTGCAGAAGATTTCTGGTTTTACCCTCTCCCTGAGTGGCAAGCAACGAGTTTAGACTTTTTTGGGCCAGTCTGCGCAGGAAGCGTGTGTAATCAACAACTCACTCCCTCAGTTTATGGACTCATTTCGACCAATTTAGTGTGGACTTTTCTGGCCAATGCACTCAGGAAGTGATGGGAAGCCACCATACCAAGCAAAAGCACCCGTGTAGAGGGTGCTCGCTATGCGGGGCAAGCGGAGGACCGAAAATGGTTTCGCAGCTCCCAGAAAGATCGGTACCAAACGGGGTATAGTTGCAAGATTCCCTTCTTACGTCACGGCTGGCTGAATATTTCTCAATGTCGATTTCATGTTGTTGTTTGTCATGGGAAAACCCGTCCTTTGAAGCTGGCGATGTTGAACATTTCAAAAAGCTTCTCGCCAATGAGAAAAGTTCTGTTGTTTTTGCTTGGTAGGGTTCTCACAAATGGAATCAACGCCAAAGTCATAGATGTAGCTCGAACTTTGAGGCATCGACATGAGTCTCGTCAACACAGGCTTGCGCGCGCAAACGCACCCTGGTAACGCTCACAGATTTGCAAACCGCTTTTTGGCTTTCAGGGCTGTGGTCCATCTTGCCATCCGTCGGAGCACTTTCCTACAAATCTGCCACTTTCATTATCAGGGCCGAGCATTGGAAGCAGCCCCGAAAGAGGAAGACAACCATAGCAATGAGGTGGCACCTTCATTCCGCAGCCAACATGAACACGAACGATCCTCACCTTGGGTCACGGAGGCCTCCCTGTTGCGGTTTTCCATTGGAGACTGTCCTCCATTTGCTGAAAGTTGTTTTTTTTGTTTTTTTCCTTGGTTGGTTTTAAAAGGAATTCATGACTACTGGAAATATTATGTTTGGGGCCAAACAACCAAATGGAAGTTGTCGATCAACAGAGACTGAAGGCAAGCTGCCCAATACTGTGCATGGACGAAAACCTATTCGCACCAAAGCTAATGAAACCATGGTTGAAACCATAACGTTTGTTGATTGGGGAATCGATTCATCCCCTTGGGTTTCTGAACGGGGGTGCAAAATGGATTCCACAGCTTCTTACAGAATGGTAGTCGATGTTCCATGAAATTCGGAATGACCATACCACCTTTGGGTACGGTAGAAGGTGTCTTGGACCTGTTTGAGTTGACACCCAGGTTGTTTGCCGATCAAGTTGATCATCTGAAATGCTGAACGGCGTATGCTATAAATATTAGTGGTTTTGAGTCGACGGTGATTCCATTTAACCAAGGGAACCAGCCTTTAACCAACAGGAAACTCGCTGGTTACCTACAAAAGTGGCTAATGATCTGCTTGGGAAGGTGATCACCTTTTGGAACCAAACGACGAGTTCTGTACTAAGGGACATCAAGGGACACCACAAGGTTCAAGCGGTCACCGGGGTTTTATGTCCTGTTTTTTTGGTGCAAGTGAGCTTCTTGTGGAGACCCCCCCCCCTTGACAGGGTTTTCCAAGCCATGCCATGAGGTACCGCATCGAGCTGAATGGCCGGCAGTATGCCATGAAGGCCGCCGGTCTTGACATGTTGACCCTCGACCCTGCAGCGACCCATGTGGCGTATTTTTTGGTTGGGCGGTTCGAACCTGCGGTTCAACTTGGAGGTATTTTGCGTGTGCCTTTTGGTGGGAACCAGGGGTTCAACTTAGGTTTTTTCTCCGTGTTTTTTTAGTTGGTTTGGTGGGGGGATTGCCTTTAACCCACAAGTCAAACGTTTAGAAGATCTGAGGACAGCCCGGTGGTGACCTTAGCAATGGGTCTCTGTTCAATTTAGCCCTCTTTGGTGGTGTGGGGCAGCTTTCAGTGACTCAGGGAGGGTTCAAAAGGAGGGTTCTGGGGCTGTTGGGGATAGCACTTGGGCTTTCGTTTTGGGAGAAAGGTCGCTCTTTTCCGGCAGGTGCCCAGTTGTTCAGTGCCATTCTTCAAATCCTTCTTCTGCGGTGGTCGAGGGTCAAACCTCATTGTGCCCACCAGGCAATACAATGCCTTCCGCCACTGCAACCACGAATCCAAGGGTCAGATTTGTTGCCCTTGCTTTGTATTTAGGGTCCACTGTGTCAAGAGAAATCATCATCAGAGAGCTCACCGATGCAGGGGGAGTGTGGATGGACGAAATCCGCTTCGCACCACGGTAAATGAGACCATGGTTGAAACAAAACGCTTGTCGGCATTGATGTTGGGGAATCGAATCATTCCCTTCAGTGCGAAACTGGATGGTCTTCGGAACCATCTACAGTATGGTAATCTATTTTTCATGAAACTCGGAAGGACCATACTACCTTTGGGCACGGTAGCAACTGTCCTGGATTTGACACCCAGCTTGTTGATCAAATTTGATCATCTCAAAGGCTGAACGGCGTATGAGTATTGGTTGTTTTGTTTCCAAAAGATCTAAGGTTCAAGGAACAACGCAATCCATTAACACCCAGGTTGAGCCACATCCATCAACAGAAAGAGCCCACGCCTTCGGCTGGGGTGATTATTTTGACGGTTTGTGGGGGTTATCAAAGTCAGCAAATGGGATATTTCCCTTGAACGCACCACGTAGGGGGTGTCTTTGATCATGGTAAAATAATGAAGCCAGTTCGGCCGACCATCGCTTTGGAGGTCCAGCGCCCGAATTTGCACCGCGCGCTGGCGATGGACGTGGTGATCCTGCGCCTCGCCAAAAATGGGAACGCCAAGAGCCGCGAGCACTCGCGGTGCGGCCGGCGGCGCCGTTGTTTTTTTCTTCCCCCCTTTTTCCGGGCCCCGCAAAGTGAGTTCATGTGTAAAGCACCTTTTGATCAACCTCCTGGTATGGGAAACCCCTTTTTGTTTAATGAAACAAATTACTTCAATTTGGTGGTTTAGTTTGGTGATTTGGAGGTTTGGGATTGGTTTGAGTCCCATTTCCCAGCGCAAGAAGACGCATGTCCCATGCTTTTACCTGGGCTGGATGTTCTTGGCTATCGGCTTCTGGGTTAGGGGTTGGTGTTCCATTTGCCCTCTCCAACTAAGGTTCAAATGCCCAACCACCAATCCAAACCACCAATTGGGGTAATTTGTTTCCTTGCAAAAAATGCATTTCCCGTATGGGGGGTTGATCAAAAGCTCCTTTACAAGTGGGTTGCTTCTTCTTTTCCTCTTGTTTTAAGGGGGGTTCCCGTCAAAACCCATCACTATTCTCCCAAACAATCCATGTGGCCACATTTTACCAACTCTAAATCGATCAAATGTTCGAACATATATTGCCTGACCAAGGGGAAACGCCGCATTTCGGAATTTCCCTTGGGGCTCCGAATGTAAAGCTCCCAAAAAAAGGGTTCCCTCGACAAAGCGCGCGTTGGTCTGAGGTGTGACAAATACACAGCCAGAGACAAAGAGACACCAACACCAACAGAAAGAAACAGACAGGGAGAAACAGAGATACACAAAAATGGAGAGAGATGGTCATAAACAAATAATGATAGACATTGGCAATGACATACAAAATCAAGAGACAACCAGAAGAAACATAGTGTCAAGCCGGCATTCTTTAAACAAAAGCAAACAATACATTTGCTAGACGAACACACCATATGCCCGGCACAAATTATTTGACAATTTAAATGAATTCCCTCATATCCCCGAAATCCCCCCCTTTTTTTTCCTCGGGCCCTTGGAATTGTTGGGAACAAATGGCTCGACCATTTGCTTAAGAGTATTTGTTCTTCCCTCTCTTGGCTTTGAAGGGAAACTCTTGCAACTGGAAACATGTGACGAAAAGTGCCAGTTTGGTGGGTTTTACAACGGGAACATCCACCAGAAAAGGCGCAAAACAACTCAGGAAGGGCATCGCCGGCTTCATCGGCTCGGTGATGCGGCGTGTGATGGTGGCCTCCGTGGATCCAGTGCAGATCGTGGAGGCCTGGACGTCGGTCAAACCGCGAAACGGGAGTACCCTCCCACCAACTAATGTCGCTTTGTGCACAAACCCCATTTCCCAGAAGGAAGTCGTCTTGCTACAGGGGTCTGTGCACTTCCATGGTAGTTGGTGGGAGGGTACCATGTTTTGTTTTGGTACGGCTTTCCCTTACAGTTTCGTGCTGACCCCAAAAAGTGTACACTTTTTGCGGCGCACTGGCCAATACAGGCACCCAGTGAGCCAAGCGATGGTTTTGCTTTAGGTTCCTGGAAGTGAAAAGGAAGATCCAACGAATTGGAACCATGAGCAAAAGACACATACACCAAACGGAACACGCGAGTTCCCTTGGCCCTTGTCAGGATTGGGCCAAGACCCTGTGGAACGAGCTGGACTATCAGCTTGAGGCGTGCCCCGCACCCCCTTGCTCGTGACCCCATTTTGCGAGGACTCGTAGGGCTCTGCCGAACCCTAAGTGACAGCCTTCTTGAGGCCGTATTTGGAAGCGAGAAGCGGAGGTGAAGGGTTGGGTGGCTCTTAGGTGGGTGCTGAATAGCCAGTCAACGCCACAGTAGCAGCTGCCTTGCCCCAGCGGGGCATGTTCCTTTTATTGAGGTCCTCCCCCGCCCATGGAAGATAGAGCACATGGAAAGCTTTACTTGCACACGGTTCAGCAGATCACAGTTTTGCTCCGAACCTCAAACCACTGTGAAAGGCATGTACCGTGCTTTTCCCCTGGGAATAGCGGTGTGAAGGTAGCGGCAGACATGGTAGAATACATGTTTTGGTCCGTGCTTACTATTGCATTTTCTCACGCAAGCTTGCCCCCCCAAAAGTGGACATGTTGGTTTTCCTTTCGGTTTACCTGACGCCCCAAAACCCGGAGCTTGCCAAGAAAAGTCAAACGGAGCTCAGCTCCGCGATGTTTTTTTTTTTTTTTCTCACGCGAGGCCAGGAGCATGGAGACCATGCGCTCTGCGCTCATCGTGGAGGGCCTCAGCATCCCCAAGGTGAACTGGGAGCTGACCTCGCTGAGGGTCCTGGCCACCGAGTGGGTGGACGGCGCCCCGATGGAGGGGCTGGAGGGGCCGGGTCCAAACAGGGTTCGGCGATCCTGTTGCTTTTTGATTGGAAGCAACCACCCAAACGAAAGCCTGAAAAGAAAGACCCGCCCGCAAATCTGGGAGCGAAGAGCTCAGAAGGATTCAATTTACCCAGTAAATGGTTGCTTAGGGTGGTCTACATATGAAATTGAAATTGAAGAATTACTAATTGTTGTACCCCCAGACGTGGACCAAGAAAGGCAAAGCAAAAGGATGGGGGGGTTGGTAACTATTTGTTGGGTGTGTCTAAAACGGGGTCGGGGGAGTTGACTGTTTCAGTACCCTGAAATTTGCCCAGGGGTTAGCCGACACACTTCATTTAGGATTGTGCTTCAGGGTGGGGGATTTCAGCACCAGATTTTCGAGCATTCAAAGTTTGATGAACCAACATGAGCTATGGGTTTGTGTTCGTTGTTTTTTTGTTCACGTTTTTTAGTGCCAGGCTCCCGCTCAAATAGGGCCGAGCTGTGTGGATCAAAGGTCCTCAGGTATCCCAAATGGAGATACCTAAAGAATGATCCAACCTGATCCGTCACCTTTGTTCCATTTTTTTTCACGAGCCCTACCCTCTTTAGCTAAGATTTCTTGCAAGACCACCGTCCTCTTGAAAAAAGCTCCCAAAGCGAGGGCGAAGACGGTAAGGGCCTAAAGGTAAGGATGGGTAAGGGCAAATCTGTGGGTAATCCTTTAATTACCCTCTTCTTGGAAAGAAGTAATATACCAGACCTCCAGTGGATGGTGGCTTCTTTTCCTCTTGTTTCAAGGGGGTTCTCTTTAAAACCAACCATGCCTTTCCCAAACAATCCATGTATGCGAAACATTCACCCACATTTACCAACTCAACATGGGTCAGATGTTGGGCTTAAAACCAACCAGCCCAAAGAAAACGCCAAAGAACCCTCCATAACCCTCCCGGGAACTCCATGTCTCTGTCTGAAGCGGAGCTCCAAAAACGTCTCCCCTTTGAAGCCAATCCCAAAGCCACCAGCCATCCCTTGCAACCAGCCCAACTCTCAGTTGTTCAGTGGCTCCCCTTTTTTTCTTTTTCTCTTGGTGGCTGCCCCACTAAAATGGTCTTCCCAAAAAAGGGTTCCCTTTTTTTCCAGGGTCACTGGACAACTGAGAACAGCCTCCCTTGCCCGTGGAAATCCGCGGGTCTGACTCGGAGCTCCGATTTCACGTCTGAGGTTTGAAGCTCACGGAGCAGCCCCGGGCGGTGAGCCGGGCGCACGTGGGGATTGGGGTGGAGGCCTTTGCCACCATGATCCTGCAGGCCCAATGTCGTCGGCCGGTCGGGCCGTTTCGGGGGGCGGAGGGGAGAAAACTGTTTGTTTCGGGCTCCCCCCCACAAAGTGGGGGAGAAATCAGCCAAAGTAGGGCATTTGTCCATCCACAGTATGTTTTTTGTTCAGGGGGGCGTTCTTGACTTCTTACCCGAAGAACAAAACAAAAACACGCCTCGAGTGAGTTCATGGGGGGTTGTTCCGTGAGCATTGCCGGGTGAGTGAGGCCAAAGGAACACCAGCCTGTCTTCAATTGTTGAGCATGCTCTAGGCAAATTGTTTATTCTAACTAGCCCCTTTTGCTCAAAAATCCAAACCAGAAAGCCGAAAAGGGGTCTATATTTGAACGCTTGTTGCGTAGAGGAAACTTCCTAAGAAAGCCCAAGGGGGATTTGTTGCTGTCGCTAAAATGTCCACCCCCGGATCCGAACACAAGATCAATAGTCGGTGCAGTGAAACCACTGTAGCAGAGATGTTGTGAGAGGGAGCCTCCCACCGCCTTGTCCAGAGCATTGACTAGGTCCCCCAGTAATTAGTGCCCTTTTACCAACTTTTTTAGGGGGAGGGTTCCCCTGCTGAAATAGACTACAAAAAAAGGGTATCCTTATTCAAACCTTTGTACTGGAGGACCTTGAATGTATGAGGTTTCGTATTCGGAGGTTCCTGGTGTCCGAAGCTGACGTGCACGAGCCACGAGCTTCTGCCAATCGCTCGCGGTTTGCTTCAGGTCGGTGTGGTGCATGCCGACCCGCACCCGGGGAACTTCATCATCACCGGCCCCGGCGCGCCCCTTGGCGTCGGAGCCCGATGCTGGAGCCCAGTGCTTCTCATTGCTCATGGATATCCCTACTGTTGGTATGCTTGGCATGCATCTTACGCGGATTGTATGGGTTACTCCCATTTCCTGAAGAATGGTGTTGTTTCTGCTTGTTGGGTTTGAAGGGGATCTATCACTACTGGAAACATGTATGATTTTGCATTGCTTATGAAGTTGGTTTTAAAGGGAATCGAGCACTGCTGGCAATATGTGTTTTTGTTTTTTGTTTTTTGGGCTGGGGGGCTGAAGCAAATGGAAATCCAGTTTAAGCATGTGTTTTTTCCCCTGGCCGAAAGCGGTTTGGGGGTCGATAGGCCCAAATAGGCTTTGGTTGGCGGTCAGCAGCGTTCAGCAAAGGTTCCGGGGTTCCAGGGCACAGAAGACGCACATGGAAGAAAGAGGCGGAAGTGAAGGACCAAGAAAAAGAAACTGAAGAAGAAGAGTGCTAAGGAGCAGAAGGACGCAAAGAAACTGATGAAGAAGGTTAGGGTCCCGAGGCTTTGCTTGCTGGACTTCGGCATGGTGTGCTACGTGCCGGAGGGTCACCGAAAAGCCTGGGCGCAGTGCGTGGTGCATCTCGCGGGGGACCCGGGCCAGAGAGTTCCCCGCATCGGGGGCAACCGGCCCCCGTTGAAGCACCGGCCAAAGTGAGGTGGCCCTGTCTGTTTTGTTTTTTCTTTCTCGAGGCTGCCCTCGTTTTCCTAGGGGCCCTATATTCCCCTTTTGGGTGGTTTTAAACATCAGCTTTTCGGCCCATGATGCCCATGAAAGCTGTGTGTCCCTGGGGGCGATGCTTTAATGGGAACTATAGGTATCCTTGTTTTCTGGTTTCAATGGAAATTCAAAAAGGACAACCAACATCCATTTTGGGGGGCCCTTCAAAAAAGACGCCCAGGTAGCTCCACATGGTTCAAACCAACAATAACCACGTTGGTACAACAAAGTAAACTGTTTTTGGGCACTGCTCAGTTGATTAACCTGAGGAGTTAATTTTTGATGTTAGTACTTTTCAGGGGGGTCAAGAGTGACGAGAATCCAGCTGATTCAGCCCGTAACAATGTCTTTTGGACCCCAAAAAAGGGTCCCTCAGAAAAAGAGGCCACCCATGGGTTCCTACACCGGCAAAAATTGCTGGCAACGTGCCGAAGACTGTTTTGTCCATATTCCCGGTCCTCTTGTCGCCTCAGGCTAAGTCTTTTTGACCCCCCAAGAGACAACCACCGACCAGTTGGAGCGGCACAATAGGGGCCTGATAAGGCGTACGAGAAGTCTTTACTTCCATCCTTGCTGGTTCTTAGTAAGGAATAGCTCAGGGATGCTCATGGTTTTAGGAATGAACTCAGTGGACCCCTTAAAGGAAACCACAAGGGATGGTTTATAGGCTATATTTATAGGGGTGATTCCCTCAGTCCCTGCCTACCGAACCAGAAAGTTGTTAGTGGAAGGATATCTTTTGGCTCGGAGCAAATCGCTTCCCGGGCTTGAGCTTATGGCATGGCTGCAAATTCCTGACCTGTGGCCAAGTCCAGCCCCTTCTTGAGTCGTCTGCCAGCTCAACCACCATCCAGGTAGTTAAAGCCCAAAGGTAAAAGTACTGAAGGGTTACTTCTATAGTGGTGAAACGCCTGGACGCTGTAGGATGGCTATAGCTGGGGTTAGCGCCCGGAAAATCCATGTTGGCTGTGAGGTAATGGTAGTTAGTCCCAGGCCGCCAGTGCCCCCGTTTTGGTTCAGAGCTCTAAAAACGGTTGTAGCCTACCTACTAAACTTTGGCGCATTTTGCTTGGATGTTAGGACTTAAACTTTTTCCCACAAATGGGTTTTCCATTAAACCATTAACACTTAAACTTTTAGCAGGGGAGCAGAAAGCAACAGAGTACTAAATCTCACTTGTACCGAGGTGATATCCTTTTGGTTCTGGGTCCTTTGGGCAGCTATGTAGCTTTTGGGTCTTTTCCTCGGGGACACCCAAACTGCATTTCTTGTTTCTTTTGTTTCCCTCTAAAACCACCAAACATGGTACCCTCAAAACAAGACACCCGTATTTAGGCGTGCCTCAAAGTAGGGTGGGTTTTCCTTTGGTTTCCGTTTAGACCAGCCTTGGTTGAAGGGTATCCTCCTGTCCCCTACCATGGAATCCACCAGAGAAATGGCCTCTTTCAGAGGAAACTAGTCTTCCCGGACCCATCAGTCAGGTATCGTCCAGTTGCTTAAGAATATGTAATCTTTGGCATGTTGCTTGGCTGTTGGGACTTCAACTTTTTGCCCACTAATGGGTTTTCCACTAAACCACTAAAAGTTACACTTTTAGCAGGGGAGTAGAAAGCAACCGAGTAATATGTTCTCTGTTAGTTTTCAACTTGGAACCTATCACTACTGCAAAGATGTTCTTACTTTTTCCGGCGGGCGAACGAGCAAATGGAAGCTTCCATTTGCTGAATCATTCCTGAAACGAGCATTTTGCATTTCCCCCTGTTGAATTTTACATGGAACCCAAAAAGGGGGCTCTCACAGAGGATTTTCCTCTACACATGGGGCCTAGAAAACGCGCCAGGTGCAGAAGGATCACGAGGCAGTGCTGGACGACCTCATTGAGATCGGCCCCTAACAAAGAAAACCCGAGCCAACGCCCGGGTTCCATGTGGATATCGCGTTTTCCGCCGTGTTTCTTTTTTCCCCAGCTGAAAGCTTTGGGGTCTCAGCCCAGATAGGCTGTGGGGTGGGGCGGCCCTGAGGTAAGGTTCCACGAGGGTTCCACCAGGGTTCCACCGCATGCTGTTGGGGATGTCACCTGAGCTTATTTGATTTGGGGCGGGAGGACCAAACCTTGGGTTGAATGGGAACCAAAAGGAAACCAAGCCATTTCGAGCACCCGGAGTTTAAGACCAACCTTTTCTTCGAGCGAGCGGGCGATCCGGGGCTCGCTCGATTTGGAGCGATTTAGTCCATCCTGAACGTCAAATCCTGGGGATTTGTTTGTTTTCCCCAACAGCTGGAAGCTATGGGGGCGATAGCCCCAGACAGGCGATTAGGGGGTGTTTTGGGGCAGCTCTCAGGGAGGGTTCCTTTTGATGTTTAAGCCAGTGGATCCATTTAATTACCTCAGGAGGTAACTAAGGGAACCAGCCTTTCAAAACCAAGCAGAGAATGGCTGAGTACCTACTAGGCAAATGTGATCCACGAAGTAAACGGGACAGACGGATCCATGCGCTTGCCTCATCCGAGGTTTTTTTCCGCCGGACTGCCCTCGGAATGAGATCCTTCCGGTGATGTCCAAGATCTGGGCGAAGCTTCTTGGCACCGAAAGGCGACTTCCGTCAGACGTGTTGAGCCCGGATTACTAGACCAGTGTTTATTCACTTCCCCAGAATTAGCTCCCCTGGTTGCTCTTTTTTGCTTTTTCGGGGTTCTTTTTGTGTTCGGTCCTAATTGCAGCCAAGTTAATATGGGAGTGTTCCTCTCCAGAAGTGATGAATCCCCACTAAAGCCGAGGACACCCCCATATAAATAAACTGGGGTTTATTAATCAGGGGTCAGCATTAGTGTTGAGCCCGGACCGAAATAGAGCCCATCAGACTAATGGGAAGTGTTCTGAATCCCTACTAAATTAGGGACGCCCCCCTATGAATACACTGGGGTTCTTACGTACCCGCCATTTTGCTCTTTTACTCTTTGGCTAACTTCCTGAGTTTTACAGACTTTATACTTTATACTTTTCGGAAGGCCAATTGGATTTTAGACTGTTTAAGCCAATAGCCCGTTTGCCCGTCTGAGTTTTTTCCCTTTGAAGAAGCTAAAGGTCAACTATCCGCAGGGGGCCTGAGCTGAGTGAGAAACCATTTAATTTACCGCTGCTATCAATCTCCCGAGAGGGAACTGAACTTTGTTGGACGTCATGTGGCCCAACAAGTGTAAACGATAGATTTCAACCAGTTGGACTCAACTCGAATGGGACAGTCAAACAACCTAGGTGCATGTGACTGGGGATACGATGCAACCCTGGACTCTACAGGTCAGTTCCCCATTTCTTTCAACCATCGTACTTTTGACGCAGTCGTTGCCTCTTTTGTTTTCTGTTTGTTTGGAAGAAAAGTATCCCGGACCATCTACACCAGTGAATGTAGATGGCACAATTTCCAACCGCAATACATGGAATTGTCTCAAAAATGGGACTCCCAAAAAACCCATGGTCTCCTTTTGGCTTCCCTTTTAAGTGCTGCGCAAGTGCCCTTCGTTCTCATGTGAGTGGCAACTCTTGTGGATCCTTTCGCTCGGACTCGCGGATCCGGGCTCAGGCTGGTGGAGTGCGGCAGCGACATCCACAAGCGCAAGAGCGCGGTGCAGCTGCTCTACGCCGAGCCCCTCGCCTCATCGCCTCAGACTCACTCAAAAGTCATTGGCTTCCGCTAGCCCTTCCAAACATGAGTACCTGAGTTTTTATTTGTCTTGACTGGGTTCTCCCTTTTCCTGTGTGGCTTATGCAGTGATTTTGAGAGATGCCACAAAAGGGCCTTTCTCAGACTAGGGGGACCCCCTTTTTGGATCTAGCCAACTTTCAAAGGGACCCCCCTCCCACAAAAAAACAGGAAAGGAACGCATTTTTCCTTTGGCTTCCCTTTAAATCAAAGCCACCAAACAAGGTTGGACTATCAGTGGGCACCTTTTTCGTTGCCTTGCTGAGTCAAGACCCTCTGGACGCAACGGCAGAGAGAGAGAGAGAGAACAAATGAAAACAAGGTTGGTACCAACTCTGAAACCTTCCCCAGAATTAGCTCCCCCTTTTCCATTTTTGCTTTTTTTGGGTCCCCTTTGTTTTCCACTAACCAGGCAAAACAGATCATTTTTTGCTGGGGTCCTAATTCCGGCCTAGATTTTTCCCCGGCTCAGGATCTTGACCCTGGTGCGGCGCTTCAAATTCAGCCTGCCAGCGCCTCGCCAGCCCGTTTGGAGGGGGTTGGGGCCGCTGGGGCCCAACTGGATTTGCTCCGCAGGTGAACGGAACCATTTTCGGGTTTCAACAGGTGTTGACTTTCTATTTGTTTCTCACTTCCTGAGTTCCTGAACTTCTTTTAAGTTTGGACCACTTTAGTGGTAACATAAAAAGTGTTTTTTGTTTTTACTTGTTTTTGCCAATCCACTCCGGAAGTAAGTTATGGGTCCGGGCAAGAGGGTGGCCCAAAAAGGGGATTCCCCTTTTTCATGGTTTGCTGTTTCGGGACGTCTTTTTTGTCTACTAAGCAGGCAAAACACATATAAAACTACTTCGTTTTGTGCTAGGGTCCGAACTCCACTAAAAGGGAACCTACCACTACTGAACATATGTTCTCATTTTTTCCAGGGGACTTAAGCAAATGGATATGTTTAAGAGTCCCCTGTTGATTGTCAAGATAATCTTTCACTACTGGACATATATTCCTAGGGAATGGATCAACGGGAACAAAGGCCCAGTTGCCCAGTGCCGCCCCTTTTTTCCTTTTGCCTTCAAAGTCAACCAGCCACAAAAGGATGCCCTTTCTTTCCCATGAAAATCCAGGCATCTGAGAAAGGGAGCAGACGCGCAGCGGAGTTGTCCAAGGACTACTACGTCGCCCTGGTCCGTGCGCTGCTGACCCTTGAGGGCATCGCGCTCACGGCGGACTGCGACTTCGACATCTTCGAGGCGAGTTGTTTGTTGTTGTTTCTCGTTCTTTCTTTTTGAAAGCTGTGTGTTTCCCCATGTTTTCTTGTTTGCCCCGTTTTTTGTGTTGTTTCTCTCTTTCTTTCTTTTCAATATTTATCGCCGAGCCTATGCCGCAGCAAGCCCAAGGGGTACCCGGTGCCTTGGCCAAGTTCAAATTTGGCCTTCTCCCAAAAAGTTGTTTTTCTTCTCGGAACTCAGGAAGTACCCGGACCCAGAAGCTACCCCTGAAACTACCCGTGTTGTGGTTGTTTTGCAGGAACACTTTCATTGTTTTACAGGAACATGTTCAGAGGAAACCCCCGCTTGTGGTTGTTTTACAAGGAAAGAACCCAATGTGGGTTGCGTTTGAAGAAACACTAAAGGAAAGCCATCAATTTGGGGTTCCTGAAAATGTCCCGTTGGTTATCCAGCAGATCCCAGTTCCCTTCAGCTACCGATCGGAGATCTGCTTTGCCACAAATCAGCAGATCGCAAACGTGCGAATGGGATGTTTCCATGCACCAGCCAGAAAAAACAACATAGTTTTCCAACCACAGCAACATCAACCAGAACAAACAACACATAGCGACAACAGCAACGCACATATTTAATATGCCCGGGCCATTCCCTTGACACAGTCGTTCACTGGCATCCATGGTGTATCTCTTTTTGCGCCCCCAAAAGAGATGAATCGTGCCGTTTCCCAGTGGATCTATAGCTAGCCAGCCGCTAACCAGCCATTTCCATTTGGTGTCTAAAGGCTGGCAAGCCCTCGGTGAGCTATAGAGGTCAATGGATCCACTGGGTTTGCCTCACTTGCTGGGCCAGGATCCCAATGACAAATAATTGAGGGCCGCGGAGAAATCGCCAAATCCGACTTGGAGCCGGGCCTAAAGGCGGTGTTTGGATGCATACCCCACCCCCAGGGTCTGGGAAAAGGGGTTCCACGACATTCACTGGATGGTTTCTGGTTGGATCGCACGAGAAACCCACGGAGCGCGCACTAGGTTTCCATGCCCCAGCTAACTCTGACCAACACCGACCTTTTGACCTTAACCGGTTTTCCCATCTTGGCGGCCATTTGTAGTCCTGGGTTTCCTCAAAGGTGATCGCTTTTTCTTATCGGCCTCTTGACCTTGAGGTTTCCCCCTTGTTTGGTCCATATACTGTTAATTATTCTTCCAAGAGGTGACCGCCTTTTACTTCCAGGTTTTTTGAACCGAGTTTTTCGCCTGGATCCTTGGTCCATAATGGTTCCGAAAGGTCAACCTTATTCCAGTCTAGAGTTTGATCTTGGGAGAACATATTTGGAGGTTCCAAAAGGTGATCACCTTTTTGTTTGGGGGCAACTGAGATTTTTCTTGTTGCAACACGCGTTTCAGCAGCCTGGCACTCAAGGGGAAGCCACAACTATGGCTGCTTTGCTGAGGGTGCCTTTTGTTATTCTTGTGTTTGGATCCTGGTGGGCCACCTGGGGGGGAAAAACAATCTCCGGCAGAACGGCTAGCCGGGCCAGGCCGCTTTCCCTGTGGCCTTGCGCTTCTTGTCGGAGCAGCGGGTCAGCGGAAATCTCTGGACCTCCGCGGCGGCGAAGGTGCTGCAGAATAGGACCGAAGTGGTGGGTTCGTTGCGTCCATTTGTTGAAATGAACTCTTTTTTTCCCCGGTTAGTTTTAACGCGAATCGATTTCACGAATAAACATCATTTTCATGTTTTTTCCAGGGGGCGAAACCGCAAATGGAAGGTTGTGGGTGGAAGCGCGCAAACCCAGGCTGGGCCTCTCATAAGCTGGAAAAAAATGGAATTTGGGCGGGAAATTGGAGCTCCACATTGCTCCCCCCACAGGACTTCCCCAGAATTAGCTCCCCTTTTTTTTTGGGGGGGGGTTCCCTTTGTTTTCCACCAACCAGAGGAAAGCAAGTTGACGTCCTGTGGAATTTCCCCCCCACGTTCGACTGTCGGTTGGGGCTGGGGAGATTGGAAGCGCAGAGTGCAGTTGTCAGTGGAGCGAATTCAGGGCCGAGCCAAAAACTCGATCCGAGTACCTGCGAACTTCTGAACATGTAAATCATCGACAGGTAGCCAATGCCCTGTAAAGCTGTAAAGCCTAAAGGGAAACTGGCTGTTAGCTGCTATGCTGGCAACTGGGATCCCGGGCCCGAGACATTTTCCTGCTTGACTTTTGCGAGCGAGAGAGACTCGCACCAGATGGGCCATTTGGAAGGATAGCACTATATAGCACTTGACACCATGAGAGAGGTTTCTGGGTTTTGTTCCTCTGCCAATATCAAGCTCCATCAGCATCCTGGATCAAACATGATCAACCATATTTTTTTGGCTTGGGGTAACGAAGACATAAGCTAAAGGTAGGAACACTCAGTTTTGATTTTGATTTTCTTGGGTTTTGGCTTCATCTTCCATTTGCTTAACAATACTTGTTATTTTCCCTTGTTGGTTTCAACAGGAATTTATCACTACTAGCAATATTTCTATTTTTTCAAGGGATCTTAACCAAACGGAAGTCATTTGTCCTGCTGCCGCAGCAGGACGCTGGCCAAGATTTTCCTGCGGTCAGGGAGCCAGCTGAACCGCAACGCGGTCTTCGCAGGGCTCCTCATGTGGACAGCTATGCTGTCCTTCTACTCAGCCTCACTTTTGGCGGAGTGAGAGGTGGGTTTCATTGCTCCAGGCTGTCCCTAGTGGTGGTTGGAAGGCTAAGGAGCTGGGGGTATCCAAATTTGCTTTTGAAGAGGGAGCTTAGGGAGCCAAGGGGCCCAGGCATGATGAAAATCGAAATTTGGGAAGCGGAATCCCCGCGCTCATTGGTTAGACAATGTGAAGTGAGCTTTCTAAAAGTGGGCCAGGTTTCAGGTCAACAACTGAGCCCTGTTTCCCACCTTTAAGGGTGTTTTCTGCGTCGATTTGAGGCTGAGGCGCCAATTTTCAGCGCGACGTTCAGGGGATCCAAACCGGCCACCCCAAAGTTTGCTCAGTTCCCCTTTTTTGGAGCCCCCAGTACCAAGTGGCAGTTTTAAGGGAAACCACCGACAAGTTGACAAGTTGTCTCAGGAGGACATCCATTTGAGCCTCTATTTTTTTCTGGTTGCAACAAGGGTCGGCGGGTCGGAATCCTATGACATGCCAGCCATCTCAGCGCCCCGAGACAACTCTTCGGGGCCGCTCTCTCCGCGAGAGAGAACTCTCTCCCGCCTTGGGGCTCGGCGTGCCAAATGGCACGAGAGCAGAACGGACAGCGACGGCGAACTTCCCGTGGAATGTCATCGGGTTGTGAGCCTTTTATGGGGGCCCTGTGGGAATCATTTAGGTGAGGATTTATGGCCACCAACCAGTGAAAATGGGGCTTTCCCTGTGAAAATGCCGGTCCGAACGTTGATTTGTCCAACAGGAATCTCGCCGGAATTAGAATGGCAGGCAGGCGGCGTCCTTGGCGGTTGCAAAGAAAGCGGGACCAAACTGGTTTCGGGTTGTTTCGGTTCTCGTTGTACCGCAAAACTAATCCTTTATTCCCATGGACAACCGGAGCCTCCGTCATTTTGCTGCGCTTCTTTAGCGCGTTTTCGCGGAAAAAAAAAACAAGAGAGCGATGAAGGACGGCGCGCGAATGCAAGGCTTTGCCTGAAGCATCGGCCACGTGTGGTCCAGATCCATGTTTGCTGTATGGGTATGTGTTCCCAATAGGGGATCCCACAAAACAGTGCTTCTCACCAAAAAACAGACACCGCACACCTGCAATTGAGAGACCAGGAAGTCGGTCTCTTCCCCGGACTTGGTTTCGGCGGCTCATTGTCCATGTGTCGGTTTTGGTCGTTTCAGGCCTTTGCTGCTCAGAAGGCGAGCAGGTGTCGGCGTGTTGCGCGGGGCCTCGGAAGTGGCCTGCGGCATCCAACGGTCGAGCCAGGCAGGCGGCAAGGAGTCTAGGAGCGGGTTCTCCTGATCAAATGACTTCTAAAACTCAGTTTTTCAAAATGGCACGGAACCCGCCCACGGGTCCCTTTCAACGGAAACTAGTCTTCCAGGACCCCACAGTCAGGTTCCATGTTAGTGGATGGGAGTGTTTCTTTCAAGAAAGTCCCTGGTTGTTTTAAAGGGAACCTATATCTTGTATCAGGTAACCCTTTTCTTGGTGGGTTTGCATTGGTGGTTTGGGGATTTGAAGCCCCAGTTCTTGTAAAGGGTAAAAGGGAACCCCCTCATCAACAACCAAACCACCGGGCTCCAAACCGCCAATCAAAGGGAAGCTGATTCAGCAGGTGAGCCACGTCCTCAAACCGATTCGGACCCTTTGGCTTTTTCCGGAACCCCTTCTTTTGGGGTTGCTTTATGAAGGTGGTTGCACCTGCTTCGTAGGTTGCTTTTTCAGGGGGTGAGTGTTTTGTTGTTTTTTCGTCCTGTAAAGGGACGAATTTGCTAAATTTGTGGCTTGCATTGGTTTGGGGGTGTGAAGCCCCAGTTCTCGTAAAGGGTCAAAGGGAATGCCACTCCTTGAGCCAACCCTTTGTTCTTTTGGGGTTGCTTTTTGAAGGTGGTTGCACCTATGCGGGCGTTGTAGGTTGCTTTTTCAGGGGGGTGACCTTGTAAAGGGTAAAAGGAAATGCCACCCTTTGCAGTTTTTCCATGGGTCGCATTCGCAAAATGAGCTGACACCTCAGGCCCTTTGCCCACGGACCTTCAGACCGCGCTGCGGCGGCTGCGGCCCCTGTCCCCCACAGCACGGCGCTTGCAGGAGAAGAAACCGTGCCGGGTGTGGTTGACCAGCTTGTTGGGGCACCATTTTGGCCCAATGGGTGTGGGTCAAAATTGAACCACCGGCAAACCACAGGTTTGTTGCCACTTACCAGGGTTCCATTTTGGGTACCTATTTTGGACCCACAGCCAAATCACATCATGCCTTTGTGCTTAGGATCCAGCCAAATCCCGCTGCAATTGCTGCAGCCTTCCCATATCTTGCTCGAAGGAAGGGCATTCCTTCGGGAGCCCCCCAAAATCAGCAGTGCCCCCCAGTTTGCCTAGCGGAGTCCTTACAGAATCGTAAGAGACTCTGTCGGAAGGGGAGGTAAAAAGGCCATCCCTTGTTGATGCCAGGTAACCCTTACCCCCTGCTCCAAATACCCACTTTTTTCAGGGTATTTTTGGCAGTTGTCCATGCAAATTGCCACTTTTGAAGGGAAAATCCAATGACCCTGAGGATGGTTGTCGTGTCAGACCCCTCGTCGGCTCAAAGTCTGCTGGCCGTGAAGCTTGGAGCAAAACACATGGTGCTCAAGGTTGCCCATCCTAATCCGCCGCCCCCCCCCCTTTGCATACGCAACAGTGGCTTTCATTGCGGCATATTGTGGCCAACCACGCGATATGAATGATAGATCGATCACTGATGGAACAACTGGCTATATTTGAGGCATACGCGTGTACATCTATCTCTATACCATAGCAACATTTCCACACTGATGCAGTCTACAAGCCTACATATAGTGCACGCGTACTACCATTTTATATACCCCAGTAGTGCCCTTTCTCACCCTTTTTTGGTGCAGGGTTCCCCTAAAACAGACCAAGCCGAAAAAAACAAATGCCAACTTATTCTAACCTCTCAAATCTGGAGGACCCAGATATAGATCTGCATATGATATGCATATGAGCAAGGCATGTGTACGCGCCTGAACCTCTCCAGCTCCTTCCATTTCCTCCGCGCGAACCGCTGCGCCATGGTGGAGGGCCTCTCGGAGCTGGTTGCCTTCGCCGGGATCTCCGTGCCCGCGCGGGCGCGGACGACGGATCGGGGGAAACCCTCGTCTGGTCGATGAACACATAGATAAATAATATATTGGCGTAATATATATATATATATGTGTATATATATATATAATACATATATATATATATGTATATTATTATTATATAATAGAAAAGAACATGAAGAAACACATTAGAGAAATCACACGGTTCGTAATAGACAAAGTACGTTCGAGAGAACTGAATACAAGATGAATAATCAAAGAATCATGTAAATCCAATTATTAGTCTCATTTGGGAGGAAGGTCCGCGGGGCTTCCTTAATGGGGCCTTGAGGTCTTGCTTTGGGAATTGGCTGTGGGTCAAAACCCATGGGATCCCATTTTGGTTGGTAAGTGCACCACCCATTTTAGAACCTATTTTAGTGGCGATTGGGATGTTCACTGAAAGTGCAATTTGGCTTTTGACCCATGGCCAGTTGCTGAGGGATATTTTACACTGGTTTCGTCCAGTGTTTCTACATGCCCCTTCGACACACCTTTTAGATGATCCAAGCCTTGCTGGTTTGCACGCTCACCGCAAACCTAGGGGTTGATTCTGACCATTATTTTCATCCATCGTTCTTTTCAAAGAATCGAAACGTCAAAAGGTCGATTCGCCTTGGGCAACTGAGAAAAGGGGAACTCTTTTACAAAATGAAGAAGGAAGGAAGCTCATCACGTGTCTTCAAACAGAACGAAAACGGAGTGGCAGTACCGATTCTTCGGTACCCTCAGTTTCCAACCTACCTTTCAATTGCCAGAAAAACACCTTTTGTGGTGAGGGGTAGCTTCCATTTCGAGCCTTTCCGGATCCTTCTTTCTCTCAGTTGCCCCTTAGGAACCAGGAAATAAAAGGTGATCACCGTGGGCAAATGACAACAGATGGACCAAAACTGGGAAACTAAAAAGTCAAAAGATCGGCACTGGGCTAGTGAGTTCTGGAAAACCATCCTTAAAAATTTCTGGTTGGAAACAGCGGTTGGTTTCCCTTTGTTGGTCCATACTTAGGAACCGTTTGTTTTCAGCAGGTTTGGGCACATGAGCATACAGCCAACCAACAAACTGCCGGGGTTCCCAGTTTTTTCTGCTTTTCCAAGGGTTCCCTTTCACAGCAAGGAAACGGCTGGGTCTTTTTTGCCAGCTTTTGTGGGAAGGTGACCCCCTTAAAAAGGAATCCTTCACGACGAGGGGGTCGATCAATTTTCCACAGTGGCAAAAAGACCCCCCTGCAGATCATCTGTTGGTTCTCCTTTTTCAAGGGTCCCCTTTTAAACCTCCATGGAAACGGCTTCCTCCTTGTTTTTGTTCCATGGACATCTGGGGTTGCGAATGCTCTTCAGGCCAAGTTTGTTGGTCGCTTTCTGGCGACCACCACCTTCGGAGCCCTGACCTTCGGTCTGGTCTGCGGTCAGCTGGGGGTGATGTTGGCGCTCGGCCCTCTGGCGCCTGGGCGATTTGTGTTTTCTCCCCCGTGTTTTGTGTCTTTCTCTTTCTTTCTTTTTTGTTGTTGTGTTTTTTTCCACGCAGGTTGGCTGCCCCCACTCGAAGTCTTACCTTTTGAGTCGTCACTTCTCCAAAGCTGAGCGTTTCACCCTCTGAAGTGTTCCTGTTTTGGGTTTCAATTTGGTGTCATGGGTTGCCAAAAGGTGGTTTCTGAATCATCCGGCTTTTTTGACCGTGGGATCTTCCTCATAATGTTCAGTTCGGGATGGGATTTGATGGGTCTTTCCGAGAGCTCCCAAAACGCGGGATCACCTTTTGGGGCTGCGTGGTTCAGAGCCATACGGGAGCCATCGCAGCCTACTTAGGTCCCTTGGAAGAAAGGATTCTAGAAAGGGTCCCCCTTAATAAGCAGTGGGCGGAAGGTCATCAATCAAGCGTCAGCAGTATGGAACCTTTTCGGGGCAATTGAGAACCATGGGTCATAACATGGCTCCCCTGCTCTCTTCCCCAGTTTGTGGACACAGTTTTGGTTGGCGCACCGAACCTAGAATTGCTTCCTGCCCAACCCAAACAAAACTGAATGCAAAGTCCATCGGATTCATAGTCAAAGTTGATGGCAACGTTGCCGGTAGATGTTGGAAAGTAAGGTGAATGACTGAACAGAAATGCATTGGGGTTCAATAGTTTCTGCGGAAAAAAAAGCACGCTAATTGTCACCCAACTGTAGCTGACCTATTTGACCGGATTGCCTTTTTGTTTTTGTTCGTTTACTTTTTAGCCAGGAAGCGCTTGATTGTGTTCAGATGGGGGCACCCCATGGCTCACTTGCCTTTGTCCCTAGCCCCCAGCCTCAAATTTCAGTTACTCCACCCGAACCATTGCAACCAAGACAAGGACACTCCTAGTTTACCACAAGTTATCGCAAGGTGGAGACCTCTCTTAGCTTGTGGGAGGACGTCGTTGTCTAGGTGGGACATCCGGCAAACTCAGGGCTTCCTTTTGATTTCGCTTCAAGCCAGCTGAAAAGGGTGCCAACTGCTGCCAGTTGCAAACAAACACATACCCATATCCTAACTTTACCCTGCAGTTCTGTTGGGCGAAGCTAAGGTTGACCCCTCAGCAACATTCAGCGGGTCCTAGAAGAAAGGATTCCCCACTAAAATAGGGAGCCCCTTACATTAACAATAAGAGGGGTTTATTCATCCGGGGTCAGCACTGTGTGAGTTCCATTTGTTATCCCAGGTGCCCTTCATGCTGGGCGCCTGGACTGGCTACTCCCTCTCTGTGGTGTCGTTTTGGCGCTCGGAGGCGAGCTGAGTCGAGTCGAGGTAGCCCTGGAATCCCATCCGGTGATGGGTACCATCAGGGGGTAGTTGAGAGTCCGTTTCGGGTTCATTTGGAGTTTTCCAGAATTCCCCAAGATTTCTTACCCTGGACCACGCTTTCAGGGATTCCCTAATTGGTGTTGGTTGTAGACCCGCTGAGTGCCACGTGCCCGGCCTCGTTTTTTTCGAGGCAAGGGAGCGGGCGATTGGGACCCCCAGTTCCTTTCGAAGCCCAACTTGATCGGCCCAGGTCCACCCAAAGACCGGAGCTCCAATCCCACCCCAGGGGGTTCAAGGTGTCACCTCTTTAACGGGGAAGCCAGCGACCGCTAAGCATTGAGTCCTGCTTGCAATGGAGTTGGGCCGGCTTCAGGGGCTTTGGGTTCGGGTCTTGGTTCGCCTTCTAGGTGCTGCTATTCACAATCTACCCCCTACTCCAAATACCCCCTCTTTTCAGTTGGTATTTTTGGGAAAACCGATCGGTTTTCCATGGTAAATACTTCCTTTTTTAGTAAAGGGTCGACAGTTCATACCCTGAAAAACGTGGGTATTGGGTGTAGGGGGTAAGTGATTCCTTTTCATGTACCTGTACAGTAGGTATCCAAGGGAACCCTTTACAAGCCAAAGAGGACATTTGTTGGTTACCTACAAGTGCAACTGGGATCTGCTACTTTTTCAAGCACTATGTTGTGGTCGCTCTCAAAGGCTTGCCGAAAACAAGAACCATCAGATGGGCTCCAATGGCGAAAACCAGGGCGCGGAGCGCGCCCCTATCGCAATCCACCAGGTGGCCAACGCCCTGAGCCACGCGCAGCACTACCCCCGGCTCTTGGAATACGCCGCTCAGCTCGGGTTTCGGGTTTCGGGTTTCGTTTCTCGAAGCGGGGGCGCCAAATTCTGCAAGCCAGCCGAATGCTCGCAGGCATTGTTGCAGCCACACGCAACCAAAAAATGCACAACACATCACTTTAGGTAGGGAGAAGCTCCTTCCGTCCAAAAGAGTGTCCCAACTTTCAGACATATTTCACAGTTCTTGGTTCCTTTTGATGATCAGAATGAGGACAGGCTTATTTGTGGTGCGGGCGAACTTTGAAATCTACAACAAAAGAAGCGATGCTAGGTTTAGTTGTAGGGCAGTGGGGCTTCTGGACAAAGTGCTTGGCTAACTTTGGGAACCCTTCCCATGGAACCCGGGTGCTTCACTCCTCACTCTCTGAGATCACTTTTTGAGACCATGGCTGGACTTAAGGGACGAGCAAATGACCGGATTTACCCACTAACGAGCAAACACCCCCGGGCAGGCTTAGTGACAACCCAACAGTTCGCTCAATCTGATTCATGCTCTGTTTTTTGGTTGGTAAGGCACACGCAGATTGCTTAATCTGATTTATGCTCCCGTTAAGGGAGTCTATCACTGAACGTCTTTCAATCCGAAAAGCGCAAATGGAGGGCATCCGGAGGGCACATTTTTTCGGGGGGATCTATCACTGATGCTCCCGTTGGTTGAGGGAATCTATCACTGAACATCTTTCAATGTGCGTTTCGGAGGGCGAAAAGGAACACCTGGAGCCTGGCACCTGGAGCCTGGCAAAACCCGAAGTTGTTTTGTTTTTTGTTTCGCCCGCCACTCTGCTCGACGGGAGGCCATCCGCACGGAGTTTAAGTGGGCGCAGCTCCCGCAGGCCACATCAGACTGGATCCCGCAGGGTGGATCCACGCTAGGTCCCCCAGCAATTGGTGCCCTTTCTCACCCTTTTTTTGGGGCAGGGTGGATCACTAGGTCGAGCAATTGGTGCCCGACCTCTCACCCCTTTTTTGGTTGGCAGGGTGTCCCTAGTAAAATAGACTACAGAAAGAAGTTGGTACCCTTATTCTAACCTCTCAAATCTGGAGGACCTATCAAAGGTTCGCCATGTCCAAACCGTTTTTCTAGAGTGATAGATTTTGTTTGAATGCGGGAGCACGCAATTTGTTTGTGGACTCAAACCTGGAAACCATGGTTAAAACTGGAACGTTGGTTGGGATTGTTGCTGGTGCCCAGATGAGTTGGAACGAACCCTGCAAAACCATCCCCGATGGTTTCCTTCAAGGGATAGGTTCATTCCCACACTCCCGAGTGAGCACCAGGTAGGTGACCAGAGATTTTGTCATATTGGTTTTTGAAGCCTGGCAAGCCCTTGGCTGCCTACACAGGGAAATGGAAACACTGGCCACGAAAAGCTGTTCCCTAAGTTGGTTTCTTCAAGCTGATCCAATCTGGAAGCTGATTTTGCACCGGGTTCCTTTGAAGAAAAATAAACGTTGTTGGTTCATGCCGGAGGCAAGTTTTAATTGGGGCCCCTTTTGTGGACATCATTTCGGTGGGGATTCATGTCCACCCACCACTTTTGATGTGGTTCCGTATTAACAAACTTGGCAAGGGCTGGTAGTCGGGCTTGCAGCCATGGCTTTTGGGTTTATAGTTTGCCCAGGCTTCTTACCCAACTTACCTGACGCACGCCTTCTTCTGAGAGGGTCTCTGGAGCATGTGTCATAAGATCCACCCGGCCCAACCATTGCCCTGCCCCAACCTCTCCTCCCTTGTCCTTTTTGTGATCATCGGGTTATGGGTGCTTGGAGATGTGCATGCCTATGTACCACTAATAGAGGCTTTGTAGCGCACTACGTGCACTTCGAGGAAGGAGCATGTCACCTGTGGGTCAAAACCAATGGTACCATTTTGGGGTAGGTGAATTCACCACCCATTTTAGAACCTATTTTAGTGGTTGGATTGAATCGGATGCTCACCGGGGGCTAACCGATTCAGCTTTTGAAAAGCCCATGGCCACTTCATTTCCCAAAACCATAGCTGATGCCTAGCCAGAGCTTTATTCGGCAGGACGTCGGGCCGGATCGCTTGGAGAAGTGGGCGAGGAGCAGCGTGGCGGCGCTGAGCTGGTGCATCTTGGCCTCCCTCAGCTGCCAGCCCATGATCGAGGAGCACCAGGAGGATCCGGTTTTTGGCTCAGTTCAGCGGATTTCTCCACTTAGGCCTGTGCCTTTTTAGGGGATTCTTAAAATGGGTGGTTGTCCTGTTGGTTTCCAGTTACTTGAAAAAACAGGGGTGCCAACTCTGAAAAAGACATACCCACTTCTTTTTCCATACTTTAGGTTGGGGACCACATTTGGTCAACCCAAAAGGGTTTCTTTTTTATACCCCAGTGGGCAAATTTGGTGAGTGTGGGTGTGTTTCTTACGGGTGAAGAGTTGCAACAAACATCTCAGTTGCAGCCAAAGCAAATCAACCTTTTGAGTTTTGTGTTTCCCTGACTCTGGGCTCGTTATTTTCACTGTTTCTGGGGGTTATCAAAGTCAGAAACTGGAGTGGGTTCCCTTTAACCTACCACTTAGGGTGACTTTGAGAATGGCAAAATAAGGAGGCTAGATGTGGGTTTCCATTTTTAGTCGTGGGTTTCCCCAAAAGGCGATCACCGGATATATTTCTGGGTCCCGCAAAGGTGGAAAGTTGGATATTTTTGTGCGCACCGCGAACTGTCACAAGGTTCAATAAGAACTGGGACCCGTTTCAGGGACATTGTGTTTTGCAGCAGGCGCTTCGAGAGACGTGCGTGGCCCTCAATCCTTCCTGGGGTTCCTTGTGTGAAATGTACCCAACTACCCTGAGCCGCATTCCTTCTGAGAGCTTCTCCTCTTGCCGAAGGCTTTTAGTTGAACATCTCATGCTGCGCGCAACTCGCCGGGCTTGGTTTTTGGTTCTTGCTGCTCAAAGGGTTCATGGCACTTGTGGTTACATTTTTACTGTTTACTCAGCTTCGCTGTTGTTGGCATGTTTTTAGGGGTGTTGATTTTGTTGCGTCTCAAAGTTGTGAGCTCAACCAAAAAAGAGAGATCAGTTCAATCACCTACACCTGTCTTTGTCCACCCTTGTTGCCAGGAGAAGCGTAAGGAACGCCTGGAGAACGCAGACACGAGCGAGTGAGCATCTGCCGACATCTCTTATGGTTGGGTTTGGGTCGACATGAGCCAGACCCCACCTGGGACGGAAGTCTCAGATCTCGCTTGCGTTAAGAAAGGTCCGGCTGCGGTCACCTGTGTCTCTGAGGCAAAACCATGGCAAAGGCCTTGTTGAGTCGGCAAAGCCCTATTTTAGAGAAGCAAGAGCCCGGGTTTAGGATCCAAGGAAGTTGCAGATTCGGAACATTGGACCCCTGGTTTCGGATAAGAGATGCAAGTTTCATTAGTTCGACTGCTGGGGGGTATCAAAGTCGGAAAATCGGGTTGTTTCCCTTTAACCCAACACGTGGGGGTGACCTTGATCACGGTTGTTGGGCGTGCCACTACGCAGCCAACATCACTAAACATTGATAAACTTCCCACTGCAGGGGGCATTGTTTCCTTCGGAGATTGGGAGCCCTGACTAATAGCTATCAGGCCTTTGGACCCTTTTGTAGAGGGTAATGCGAACCACGCCTAGCTTCCAAACCAACAATCCCTCACTTGCCAAAAGCCGATTTTGACCTTTTCGTTTCCCCTTTTTGTCATGCTTTCTGAGATCCAAGCCACCTATTAGAAAGAAGCCTCGTGAACCAGTAGAACTTTGCGAGGAGAAGTGGCTCGACTTGTGAGCCGGCGTCGGCAGCTGGCACCAGCATCTCAGGTAGGACTATGGATCTCTTGGGGTGTGAAATAGTCCATGTTGAAGATCCCACTAGGTTTTGTCCTAGCTGTTCCTGGATTGCCATTGAATCCTTTTGGCGGGCAAAAGGTTCACGGGTCTTCCCCAAAAACGATTCCCTTCTACCAAGGTCAATGGCCAACTGCGGGGCTCTTTGCTACTACTTTGGTGCTTACATTGACTAAACATCCCTAGGCTGCTTGACGAGTTTGCCTTCTTTCGTTTCACCAGGCCAGGTCTGAATTGCCGGCCACGTTTCGATTCACGGCAGAAACACGAAGGGCGGCGGCTTTGATGGCCTGAAGCGGATCGAAGGGGTTTGGGTATCACGCTCGGTTCGACCCCGGAGGGTTTCCCCCTTTGCCGTAGGAAAGTGCCCGGGTGGGGTTGGAACGTTGCAAGATGGGCTGAGGAGGATTCATCTGAGCGTCCAATTTGCAATGCGAGTTGGGTGGCTCATCTTTTTCTAGCCTGTGGTTGGAGGAGCCGGACTCTGAGCCGGGGGTATCCATTTTGTTTTTAAGAGGGAGCCTGGAGGCAGCTAGGAGTTCTGCAGGAGCGCCCACCATGTTGTTGGTCCAAATCCGCACAAGACACACCCAATCGGCCTAAACTGCTTGGTACTTCATTCTTCCCTACTGGACTGCTACTTGGACAGGGTTGCTAAAGGCTGCAGTTCGGCCACGGTGGAATCGCATTTAGCTCATTTTGGAGGTTTCAATCCTGCTTTGCTTTTGATCTACTTGTTGGGGAAGCATGTCGGAAATGTCCCAAAGGGATCGATGGCGTGAAACAGACATCACCTCGGGTCTCCTTCAAAACAGTTTCATCTTGGGGTGGGGTAAATGTGAAGCCGAATCCGACAATGCGCTGATGTCGGTCAAGAGTTTGAATCTTGCATAGTTTTGTTCATTTTTTGGGGGAAGCCTGAGAAAAAACAACCTTTTCTCAGGTATGCCTTCTCTGGTTTGGATTTGGATTTTTATTCGTGTTGAAGCTCCGGGAGGGAAGACCAATCCAAGCCACCGAAGGAGAAGCTGATGTTCGGAATGAGGTCGGATGCGTGTTCTTTTGGCTCCAAGAAAACGCTTTTGCCGCGGGGAAGCAAAACGAGAGGCCGGGCTGAAGTTTTTTTTTTGGGCGGGGGGGTGGGGAGAGACCGTTTAGCTTCCCAAGGGGAAGCCAAAAGGAGGTTGTTTGAACTTCGTAGCCCAGTGCTTCCGGGCGTTTCACCATCACTTTTGGCGCCAAATGGAAAGGTACCCCGAAAACTCCGAACCACCAAATCTTGATTGTAGTATATTTAGGCAACCAGGGGAAACCGTGCATGGTAAAACCCTAATTAGAGGTAAGCAACCCTGGTTCCTACTACAATGGAAGCATGGAGGGGCTGGGTAGTTGTTTAAACGCTTTGTGCAGTTTTAGTTTGGGTTGCGGTTTGGTGGTGCGGCTAGTGTGGAATGATTCCGTGTGATGGTGCACACTGTGCCACGTCCAGCCTGGGTCAACAATAATTATATTTCAATGTGTCCCACGTGTGAAGGTTGAGTCGTTGCCAAGCGAAACTTTTGAACAGATTTACCTGCAATCGTGAGGGTGGAGATGGGTCCACATGTCAAGCTGGACTCTTTTTCCGACAAGCATGGATTACTTGCTGACTTCCCCCAAAAAATGTCCTCGAGCTGGTTCACACGAATGGGGCGTGGTTGCTTGTCAGCTTGCCCAAACTCACTTACCTGTGTCTAAGGGTGGAAGTACATGCCCCTTGTTCATAGCCCTTGTTTTCCCTGGTTTCCAAGCCACTTTACAAGGGGTATATAAGTTGGGAAGACCATTTGAGTGGCAAACGCGGGCAAACGGGCAAATTTGGACTTTTTTTGGGGCAGTCCACTCAGAAAGCGAGCAGACATGCCGCCCTCCCGCCAGCTAACATAGAGTCCGAGCGGTCGGCGGCGGTGCCCGGGCTTGGACCATGTTTCCTCCATGTTTCGCCGGTGAGAGCTGAGTGTCATAGGAGGGTATAGGAAATGGACACGTATATTAATAATATGTCCGGGTTTCGCGGTATATTTCAAAGATGTGCCTGATGGATCTTGTCGCTCATCCTAAGCTCGCCAAGATCCCTTCAGATGCTCTCCCTCCCACGGCATCGGACAGACCAGCTGAGCAGAAGCCCTGCGCATGCCAGGTGCTGGGCCCTTGGCTGAGGCGGCCACAGAGCACAAGTATCAAGGGATCTCTGCAAAAAAGGGGCCCACGCATCCATGTGGGACTGTGTTAAACTTCACTGTTCTTGTCATTTTTTTTTTTTGAAGTTTTTTGGTTCTGTTCATTTTTACTGGGGGTCTGCAAAACAAGAGTAGAGATGGTTATTTTAGGGTGCCATTTTGCAGGTTGGTGTTTTTTGGGAAAGCAAAAGGAAACCACCACATTTTGGGGGACAGCCTAACTTTCACACACACACACACCCATTTGGCGCATTGAGAAAACAGTCCATGTCACGAAAATGGCACCCAACTTGCTAACGGGGGCTGTAAGACGACTTCGATCTTCCGGGTTTGCTTCTGGTGCCATTATCGTGAGAGTCGTCTAGACAACATGTTAGATGCCTCACAGAATCGTTGCACTTGTCAAGGGGGACATTTGGCATCCAAAGCAAAGCGTGGACAAGTCTTTTATTGAGATGCAAAGTGCCCGAGCCAGGGTCGACTTGCGGTGCCTGCCAGAGGCAAAAGTTTTTGGGAGGGGCCCTGGACCGGGAAGATCAATCTCCTCTTAAAGCTACCCCATGTCAGCCGCCGCATCGGGAGCCACGAGCGTTGAGCTGCCAGGATGGCCTTCTTGTCGGAGCCTGTTGCGAGGAGCGCGTCACCCCCAAGGGCCTCGCACCCAGAGCAGAAAAACTCGGGGAGGGCTGGATCTCTTCCTTTGAGGGGAACCCGTTTAGAAGTTAAGGAAAACGATTCCCCCCCTAAAAAAATCAGCTGCGCCCACAGAGGCCACGTGCGAACTCGAGCGAGTGAGTGAGTGAGTGAGTCAGTGAGTCAGTGAGTCAGTGAGTCAGTGAGTCAGTGAGTGAGTTAAGGAATACCAAAAGGAACAACACGATATTCGGGGGTTTGCGAGGTCCCCTAGCTAAAGGAAACACCCACTTCCGACCAGTTTCTGGACTTGAGCCGCTGGATCATTTCTAGCTGGTTGGGAGCAGAGCCAAGACTTCAGAGCAACCAAGAGTTCTAGGCGCTAGGGACATGGGACCTTTTAGTTCCCCCGAAAAGGGGTTCCCATTTTTTGGTCAAGCCCCGAAAGATGATCACGCTTTAGTTTGTTTGGGCAACTGAGCCTAATTTCATGTTCGATCCCCTAGTTTCTGCGCTGCTACTTTAAGCCCATCTTCAGGCCAGTCCACGTCGGACAACCAAGAACCAGGTCCCCAAATAAACGGACAACACAATTGCCTTCCCTTGGAACAAGGGGGTTGTTTGGCCAGGTCTTTTCATTGGGTTGTTTGCCAAGATTTGCCAGGGGCTGTTTCCATGGCTTAGTTGACTGATGAGTGATGTCAGTGGACTTTCATTATCGGACTGTGTTGCCTCTATGTTCAGCTTTTGGATATATTAATGAAGGGAATCCCCAAAGTGACAAAGCAATTCAATGGGGTGACGTCCCCGAACCATTTTGGCTGGCTTTCCCCAACCATTCCGAAAAACTCGCAGAGGGCTTGCCCAAACGCCCAAGTTGACTCTCCCGTGAAATCGGTTTTCCCTGTTTACCAACGAGCAAACGATCAAACAAATGAGGCGTCCGTGCTGCCAGACAGATTTGGGGCAACTTCCCCCATGCCAAAAATCCATGGGCTCAGCGGAAACCTTAAAGCCCATGGCGATGGCGTTGACTCTCCCATGAAAATCCGCAGATTTCGGGTGAATCTGCCCCAACCATTCCGCGAAGCGCTGGGCACCGATCAGTCGGTGAGGTGGTCAGCCGTGAGGCATCGCCAAGGGCGAGGCAGCCGGAGCTCCCAGGTTTCGGCGGTTTCGAGCCCTGACGATGGGGCGAGCTTGCAAAAGTTGCGGGGGTTGGCGCTGTTCGCCTGTTAAAGCCTACCTGGAGTCTCCTGTAGAAAAAGGGGTCATAACCCCGAAATTCTGCGGAATGACCCTAAAGGGGTCATGGATGGGATGGAGACTCCTGGTATAAATCTGTGGATACTACCAGGGGCTGTGTTATTGCCAAATGGTACACCTATCTATGAGTTTTTATGCGCAGCCACTCAAAAGACAAAACTGGTTGGTGGACAGGAATCCTCACCTAAATGAGGTCCATAGGGTCCTAATCATCCCTCCTATCATGACTAAACTTGGTGTTATAGTTATAGTAGCCTACTTGGG